CCTCCTCCCCTGTGGATTGAAAACGTGTGTCCGCCCCTTCCTTCACACCTGACCCCCCCCCAATCTGAGGCTCATGTGGGCGTGCACCCCTCTCAGCTATAGAAACAAATATCAAAACTATGATTTAAAAAAACAAAAAGAAAGTGCTGAGGGTTTGAGCCCCTGTGGCCACGCGGGAGCCTGGATGGAGCCCTGGCTCCTGGCTCCGGCCGTGGTGGCCATCCAGGGAGGGAGCCAGCGCCTGGAAGATCTTTCTGCCTCTCCCTCCTCCTCTCTGTAAATCTGCATGGAAGGTAAATACATTTAAAAAATATATATGATTTATTTTACGGACAGCACTGTGGCACAGCACACTAAACTTCAACCTGTGGCGTCAGAATCCCACAGGGGCGCCGGTTCGAGTCCCGGCTGCTCCACTTCCCATCCAGCTCCCTGCCTGTGGCCTGGGAAAGCAGTGGAGGACGGCCCACAGCCTTGGGACCCTGCACCCGCGTGGGAGACCCGGGAGAGGCTCCTGGCTCCTGGTTTGGGATCAGCTCAGCTCTGGCCGTTGTGGCTGCTTGGGGAGTGAACCAGCAGGTGGAAGATCTTTCTTTTTGCCTCCTCTTGTCTCTATAAATCTGCCTTTCCAGTCAAAATAAAGAAATCTTTAAATAACAATAATAAGGCCCTAAGAGCCACAGGTTATCCCGTGTCGGCAGAAGCAGCGAGACCCCCAGGTCCACGCGAGCGCACCAAGCAGACACTGGCACACGACGGGAAGGGGCCGAGGGCGCTGACGGCCACTCCTTGCAGACACCCACACAGCTCCGAGCTCCAGCACCACCTGCGCAGGGCAGCGCAGTGACGGCCGTGCCCCTCCGGCGGCAGCAAGTCACCGCGGCGTCCCAGGCCCTCGGTGACTCAGCTGGAGCTGCGTCTCCATCTGGCCGGGAGGGACCCGGACCGGTAGGGTATAATTAGCAGCAGGCGCCACGCACGTGGCCACCCCAGTGTGGGACATGGCTCCGTGACTCTCAGCTGGCATAAGAGCCCTCCCTCCCCATCCCGGGACAGCTTACGGAGACACCAGTTTGAGTATTTAGTTTTAAGAAAGTCACCGTGTGTCATGGGGCAGTATCCCCCATGGCTGGGATCGCTGGGGTCGCTGGGGTCACGGGCTCTGGGGCCTGTGGTCCGACACAAACGCCAAAACAGCAACAAATCAGTGTCGGAGCGGGGCAGCCCCCCGGCCAGCCAGAGGGGCACGGCAGGAGCCGGGTGGCCCAGCCGCTGCGAGCGGGAGGCGGTCTTGTTTGTCAAGTCGCGGGGCGGGCCGTCCCCCGAGGTCTCCCTGGGCTATGTCACAATCCTGTGATGTCAAAACTGCTGCAAAGGGTGATGAACTCTGGCCCGGTCGATGAGTCAACCCAGGGGTGGGTTGCCGCCAGCCGCCAGCTGTTTACACACCGTCACCCTGGCCACCGTCGGGGCCGGCCGGAAGCGCAGTCCACGGAGGGGGTCACGGCCACCCCGGGCAGGGGAGGGGGCGAGGCTAGGTCCCCCCCACGCGGCCCCACAGCCCAACCCTGACACTCTGGGACTTTGGGCCCCCGTTCGGCACCGGGTTCACCCTCTCCCCAAGACCACCAGGCAGCGCCCCAGCAGCAGGCCCAGGGCACCGCCCCTCCCACCCCACCCCGGGTGGCTGTCACAAACACCCACGCGAAGCAGGGGCAGGGGGTGGGTGGGGGTGCCCACAGGGGGTCTGTGCTGGGATGGGATGGGCTGTCCTACACAGCCGGGAGGGCCTGGCCCTGACTCAGCCTCCAGGGCACCGCCCACTTCCTCACCTGAGAAACGGGGCTGGTGGGCGCAGAACCCAGTGACGGGCCAGGCTGGGGCGGCGCGCTGGCACGAGTGGTGCCCGTCACCAATATTGGTGGCTGTCACCCCTGAGCCGGCCCCGGGAAGGGAGCGGGGGAGGCGGCTGCACGGCCGGGCATGCCTGCCCCCAGCACTCGGGACATCCAGCTAGGACAGCCCCGTGGCCAGTCTCTTTGAGAGCTGCGCACGCGAGACCAAGGCCTGCCTCACCGCACACCAGAGCTTGGCTCAAGCCCCTAGGGAGGGCAGCCCGGAGCCCCATGAGGACACTGGGTGCCCGCGGCCTCACTTGCCCCCAGCGGGAAAGGCACACAAGGGGGGCACCCCTGGAGGGGCTTCCGGGCTGGCCAGCCACAGGAGGGCTCCTCGGAGGACGAAGCAGGCAGGGCTGGAGCTGCCGTGCCCATCCCGGCTGTGGGAACACAGCATGGGGTAAATTAAGGCTCCCCTCCCGCCGCCACCATTGCTGGTGTCCCAGCTGGCGTGTCCACACAGCCCAGCACCCCTGGCCGGACACAGCTCCGCATGGCACCTTCCGCAGGCCACCTGCCCTGCCCGGCGTCCTCTAAGCCTGGGCACGCCTGGGACCCTCAGCCCTGGGTCACCTCCTCCCGTGGGAGCCCCGCGTGCCTCTTGTGTCCTGGCAGCCCGGACACCCGTGGGCAGAACAGGCACCCCGAGGCTCTCTGCACAAACACCCACACGAGACAGGGGCAGGGGGTGGGTGGGGGTGCCATATATTTGCACCAGGTGCTGTGTACACAGGGGCCTGTGCTGGGATGGGATGGGCTGCCCTGACAGAGAGCGAGAGCGAAGATTCCAGATGCAGTGGAGGGGCCCAGGAACTGGGACCCCTGATGTCAGACAGATGGGTGGGGTGTGGGGGTGTCAGGTCTCACCAGAACTCAAAGTTGGCAGCACGCCCCTGCCAGCCTCCAGGAACCTCTTCCTGAACCCCAGCATTCCCCATCGCCCCCGCCAAGGAGCAAGAACGGGACCCCCACCCCACCCCACGCCTAGTGCCGGGGCGGGTGGCTGCTGGGGGAGGGCGCCCCAAGGGACCCGGGCCAAGGGACGCCTCCAACTCCCCTCGTCCCTGACACCCCCGTAAGTTGGAGAGAGAGAGGGAGGCGGTCAGCCCAGGTGCCCAGCTGCTCGAGGAATTAGCTGTCTGTTTCTCTCCAAGCTTCCGCAACCCGAAAACAGCAGCCTTGCCACCTGCACAGCACAGGACAGGGCGCCCCCCATCTGTACCCCACAACACACACACAGGTGACCCCGCCAGCAGCACCTGAGTGACCACTGGGTCGGGATGGACAGGGGGTGGGGGACAGGTTTCCACGGGGGACCTCTCTCCCGTCCGCCCCAGAAGGAAACCATCAGCACCCTGCCCACGCCAGGGCTTTCTCCTCAGACACAGCCGCCAGCCGGCCGCACACACCCCTCTACTTGGGCCACAGCTGGATCCCCCCTCCGCAGCACACCCCACATACACCCCTGCACCCGGTGGGCCACAGCTGGATCCCCCCCTCCCCAGCACACCCCGCACACACCCCGCGCACCCAGTGGGCCACAGCTGGATCCCCCCTCCCCAGCACACACCCCTGCACTTCCACAGCCTCCTGACCATCGGCAAACACAAAAACCCCACTGCACAGCCCCACAGGTGCAGCTGAACAGGAGTGGGGCCCCCATGCGCACGCTGCCGGGGTGCGGATCCCACAGAGGACCAGCCCCCCGAAACACCTAACCTGAGGACTGTGACAAGTTCATGCAGATGTGGGGGACCCTCCTCCTGGGGTCGGGGAGGCCGGCCAGCATCAAGGAGCAAGGTCCCGGGAAGTCGGGGATGTAACCCACACCGCACGTTAAAAATAGCAGCGCCAGGGCACGAGGCGGGGACGCCAGGGCACGAGGCGGGGACGCCAGGGCCGGCCTTCCGGACCAGCACCTCCTCGGCCACCTGCACGGGCACGTCAACTCACCTGACCCACCCAGGACTTCCCTCGGCGTCCCCTGGCCCACCCACTTTTTTTCTTTTTTTTCCCCGAGGACCGAGGCCCGGCCAAGACATGGGTACCCCCCAACGAGTCGGAAAGTAGCCAGGAAAGGGAAGAAAAATTCCCGGCTTACAAGCAGGAAGAAAGTCGCATTCCTTCCCACTTAGTCTGTCCGCCCCACGATGCGCAAACACGCCAGGGAGCCCCGCCTCCCCCGTGGACGCGCCGGACCCCCCACACGTGTCCCCAGCAAAGGGGTGACCCCTCCAACCCTGGGCACTGCCCGACTTCCATCCCCGGACGGGGTGCACGAACCCCAGATGGGCGCCTCAAACAAGGTGCAACACAGAGGCACCACATACCCAGGCCGAGCAGGTGCCAAAACCGAAACACCTCCAACTTCCCCCCTCCCCGACACCCCCGTAAGTTGGGGAGAGAGAGAGGGAAGCGGTCAGCCCAGGTGCCCAGCTGCTCGAGGAATTAGCTGTCAGTTTCTCTCCAAGCTTCCGCACCCCCGAAAAAAACAACAGCCTTGCCACCTGCACAGGACAGGACAGGGCGCCCCACATCTGTACCCCACAACACACACACAGGTGATCCCGCCAGCAGCACCTGAGTGACCACGGGGTCGGGATGGACAGGGGGCAGGGGTCACCGCCAGCGCCCCCTTCAACCAGCGTCCTACAGGGGACCCCCGATGCCCCTGTACCCCCTTACGGCCGAGCCCTCCACTTGCACCCAGCTCCGGCCTCCAGGTGTCCACCGCGGCAACGCTCGGTCCCCCCACCCACCGAGGCCGAGAACTCGGGGTTCGCTTCGAGAACACAGGGCAGCCTGCCCTCCGCCCTGCACCCCCCAAAGCCGGTGCTGTCTGTGTTTTTTTGGGGGGGAAGGAGGGGTGTCCGAAAAGGGAAGGCGAGCCGCAGGCCTCCTCCTCCTCCTCCTCCTGCGGCGAGCTGCCGTCCTGCCCTGCCCGGACCCCGCGTCCGTGTCGTCGCCGCCGTCCGCCCCACCATCGTGTCGGCCGCACCGTCTCGGGGTCCCCGTCCCCCGTCCCCATCCCAGCGTCCCTTTTCGGGGGGCTGTGGCGGGGCGTGCGGGGCCCGAGCCGTCCCCGCCGGGCGGGCCGCTCACCTGGCTGGCGCGGTAGCTCTCGAAGGCCTTGAGGGCGCTGTCGGTGAGCTTCACGTGGAACACGGACAGCTTGCTGCCGGCGTTCGCCCGGCCGCACGACAGCCCGTAGCTCCGAGCCTCCTTCAGCGCCGCCATCTTGCGACCATCGCTCCCCAGCCCCCGCCTTCCCGGCCCCAGCGCCGTGACGCGCTGCATTATTCATGAGGCGCGCCCTGGACACGCCCCTCGAGGGGGCGGGGAGAGCGGGGGCGGGGCTGCCTCTGGCCAACCGACGCGCGGGTTACCTCAGGGGGCATGGCCTGGCCACGCCCCCCTACAGCGTTGCTAGCCCCGCCTCCCGGAGGGGAGGGAGGAAGAGGGAGGGCCCCCGAGAGGCGGCCACTTCCGCACACGGAGCTCCGCCCCGACACGCGCAGCCCCTCCGGTCCCGCCCCCTCGGCGGCGGGACGTGATGCATTATTCATGAGCTCCCGGCCTGGGCGTCCCCGAGAGGGCGTGAAGGGGGCGGGGCCGGCGCGCCGCACGTGCTGGGGGGCGGAGCTGGCCCGCTGTCCGTGGGCGTGGCTATGTAAACGAGAAGCGCGCTGGACGCTGGGGCGGATGGGAGTCCCTGGCCCCCTGGCCGCTGCAGCAGCAAGAAGTGTCCCGGGTGTGGGGTGTGAGAAGCCGGACCCGGCGTCTCCACGGGACCCTGGCCCGTGCTGCATTCTGGCCGGGCTTCGGACCCACTGCATGCCAGCATCCACGCCTGGCAGGTGCCAACCCAGGCGCAGCATTGCACCACCAGTTGCTTCCATCGGGTTCCAGAATATGTGCAGCCTCCACCCACCCACACACACACATCCCCCCATCAGCAGCCACGCCCCCCGCACACCCCACTCCCCAAGCCCCTGGCACCCACGCTGCTTCCTGCCAGCTCTGCAAACTCCCGTCCAGGGGTCCTGTCACGCAGTACCCCACTTTCAGGGTCCCTCCGCATGGGGAGGCCTATTCCTTGGCACGGCTGCAGACCAGCTCACTGCACACACGCAGCACGTGGCCTGTGAGACCCTCGAGTGGGTCTGATGGAAGTGGGGGCATCGTGGGCCAGTGACGTCAGTAAGCTGTGCCATGCATCCTGGCCCCTCGTCCTTTTCCGAAACATGGATTCTCCTCGATCCACATTGCGGTTCAGGGGTGCCAGCCTGATGTCCTGGCCCAGCTGCCCTGTCTCCGTGGAGTGTGCCCAGCAGCTGGGCATGGCGGTGGTGAGCCTGTCCATTTGGGTCGCCAGCGGGAGCGTCCAGGTCCACACTCGCGGCTCCAGCTCGTGCGGACACGCTGGGGAGGAGCAGCAGGGCACGCCCAGCGCTTGGGAGACCCGGACAGGGTGCCAGGCTTCAGTCTGGCCCGGCCTGCTGCTGGGGCCGGGGGATGGACCAGGCCACGGATCCGAGGGCAATCACAGCGATTTTGAGCTCAAAGAAAACCCGCCCCAGCCTTTCTTCACAACAGTTCCAGAAGCTCATTTGGTCCCCTCCGACCACCGCCCCGGCGGCTTCTGTAACTCCCCACCTCGGCCCTGGGGGGCAGCCCAGGGTGCCACCCCGGGCCCACTCCATGGCTACACAGGACAGGCATTGTGGTGCACCACGTGGGCGCCAGTTTGAGTCCCGGCAGCTCCACTTCCCACCCAGCTCCCTGCCTGCGGCCTGGGAAAGCAGTGGGGGACGGCCCACAGCCTGGGGACCCTGCACCCGCGTGGGAGACCTGGAGGAAGTTCCTGGCCCCTGGCTTCAGATCGGCTCAGCTCTGGCTGTTGCGGCCACGTGGGGAGTGAACCAGAGGATGGATGATTTTCCTCTGTCTCTCCTCCTCTCTGTATATCTGACTTTCCAATAAAAATAAATAAATCTTTTAAAAAAACAAAAGAATGAAGTTATACCAGTTGCAACTACATGGTCCCAAATGGAAACCATTCTACTCAGTGAAATCAATCCCAAAGACACAAACGTCACAGGCTCTCTCTCTCTCTCTCTCTCTCTCTCTCTCTCTCTCGTAAGGGACCGTCGTGCCAGCGGCATGCGCAGCGTTGGAGTGACGGCGACCACCGCACCCTGAGGACACACTGCAGCAAGCGTCCGTGCGTCCAGACAGAAGCTGGGCTCCCAGGCAACGTGCGGGACAGACCTAGACCACGGGATGCGGGGCTGTCTGACACTGTACCAGCAATGTCGGGGCTCGCTTAAGTAACAGGCCGGCGGAACTGTAACTCCTTACGGAGAGCTGGGAAAAACCAGTAGGGGGTGGGAACTGCGGGGAGGGGTCCCGGACTATATAGAATTGCACGATAAATTTCAGGGAAAAAAAAGCCCCCCTACCCACTGGTGTGAGCAGCACGGAAGGACTTGGCCTGCCCCACGGCTGTGGCACGGGCTGCGGCCCGGGGTCCCGTGTGCTCTCACACCCTCCGCTGGCGTCCATCAGTCTCTGTGAGGCCAGGCCTCCCCCAGGCCCCACCCCACGGCTATGCCCCACAGAGCCCCGTCCCACGGCTGTGCCAGCCTGAGGAGGGCAGAGACCCCACGGAGTCCCCACCACCTTTACAGTAAAGGTCACAGGTGCATGAGGTGGGTCCAGCCCAGGCCGAGCCAAGGAATGTCCGGAGCCAGCCAAGTGCAGGACTGGCGGTTTTATTCCACGGTGTTGGGGTGGGGAGGGGCAGCTGGCAGGGCTGGCGGGGCTGGCAGGGCTGGCAGGGCCCAGGAAAGGCCGCCTCCCCACACCAGGCCCAGGCCTGAAGGCTGGAGACCCCCATAACCCAGGGGGAGCAGTTGGGGCGGGGAGGGGGCTGGAGGGACAAGGGCCCCTCCCTCCGGGTGCCCTCCCGTGGGGCCTCAGCACGACCCCATGCCACCTGCAACCCTTGCTGTGCCCCCCCACCCGGAAGAGGGACAGGACCGGGAGGAGCCACGGAGAGACGGGAGGCCTGGGCAGAAGGGGCGTGAAGGAGCGTGGGCTGCGGGGGACGGGCGTTGGGGTGCGTCCACGGCGCGCGGAGAGCTGGCAGCCCACAGCCCCGGTTCAGTTCCTGGCAGCGATGACCACGGAGAGAGCCACGCCCCCGAGGGCGACTGCTGTCGCCCCAAAGAGCCACTTCCACGGGATGGACTGCGAGGGAGGGATGGGAGCGGCAGTTGGGGAGAGGCGGCTGCAGGCTCGACCCCCCCGGCCGGCTCCTCCACGCGTGACCCCCGCCCGCCGAGCCCAGCTCACCCAGGCGCTCTTGCCAGGGCACTTGGCGGGCAGCCGGCTGGGGTTGCCCAGCATCTTGCGGTAGAGCGCGGTCTCCGTGCTTCGTTGAGCCGCGTGCTTCTTCACCAGCTTCGAGAGCTCCGCGTGGATCGTCTGTGGGTGCGGGAGGCGGGTGTGAGCAGGGCACGGGAGGTGCCCCGCTCCCTGCCCGCGTGGGGGCAGTCACTGGGGGCTGGGGAGGGGGATCTCAACCTACCCACTTGCCACCACAAAGGCTGTGACCACCACAGCAAGAAAGACTCGAGACCGACCACAGGGGGGACTTCCCAGGGGAGCCAGAGGGCGAGCCCCCCCCCACACCTGCCCCCGCCCCCAGCTGCCCGGGGTGTGTGCCCACAGCTCACCTTGTTGGAAGGTTCCAGCTTCAGGGCCGCCCTCAAGATGGGGATCGCCTCGCTGTACTCGCCTTGCTGGGCCAGGACCTGCGGGAAGCGGTGGGCAGGGCGCTGGACCCATGGGGGTCTCCCTTGCCCTCCGGGAGCCCAGTCCACCCTCTGACTCCGGGTTCTGGGGGGGGGCACCCACTCGGGCCGCAAACCTCCCCGCTACTGGCCATAGTACACGCTTTCCTGTCTCTCACAGGACACAAGGCGCGTGACAAAGCCACGCCGCGCTCCCCAGGAAACCACGGGGGCCTGGGTCCACAGAGAGAGACCCTCCATCTGCTGGCTCACTCCCCCAGATGACCACAAAAGCCAGAGCTGAGCAAGCCGAAGCCAGGAGCCGGGAGCTCCCTTCGGGTCACGCACATAGGTGGCAGCGTCCCAGGAACCTGGACCAGCCCTCTGCTGCATGAGCAGGAACTGGATGGGAACTGCAGCTGCCTTAGTTCCCCCACTTTAGCACTGCTACAAGGTGCCAAAGGCCTTACCATCAGCCGTGGGGGGTCCCCGAGACACCAGAGGTGGGGGATGTGGCAAAACCATGCCAGACTTAGTGGCGACGGCCCTGCCCCGGGCACCCTCTGGCCCCTCGGAAGCCTCGACCCTGACTGCACCTTCCTGCCAACGCAGACCCCGCGTGGGCAGCGGGCATGAGATGGCCTGGACCCACATGGGAGACAGGGGCGGGGTTCCCAGCCCTGCCTTCAAGCCTGCCCCATCTCAGCCTAGGGCCTGCAGTGCAGCGGGCTAAGCCTCTGCTTGTGACTCTTGCATCACTCATCCCCCAGCCGCCTGATGAACGCAGGCGAGGGTGCTGGCTCTCGGCCCTCACCGTGGGACCGGCCTCGGGGGGCGGGGGGGGCTGCCTGAGCTCCCCGCTGGTCAATACACAGCGATGTGCAAACACCGAGCGGGGCGGGCCGGCCCTGCGTTCCCTACAGGATCTGAACACCAACCCCGTGCCTGCCCGCTGCCCCGAGGGCAGGGCTGGATGGGGAGCAAGGAGCGGGACGGACTGAACCCCCCACATCCCAGCAGGTCACCTCCAGGTGCTAGCTGGCAAGACGTGGCACCCCGGGGCCGCGAAGAAGGGGCGGGAGGTGCGGGGACGCAGGAGTGATGCAGAAAGTGCCCGGCGCCCATGCCAGTCCTGAAGCGGGGGCCGGGGAGCGCCCACCTTGCCCTTGCGGAACAGCGCCTTGATGTTGTCGGGCTGGTGCTCCAGGACCAGGCTGCAGGAGCGCAGCGCCGCGCCGTAGTGGTCCAGCTTCAGCTGCGAGGCCGCCAGGTTGTTCAGACACTTGACCTTCAGCTGCAGCAGCTCCTCCTCCTCCTCCAACGACATGTCCACTGCGGGCGGCAGGGCGGCCACGGCGCCGGGCCTCAGTTCCCCCACGCGTAACCCCCCGGTCTCCCAGCATTCTCCTCCCAAGCCTGCCTTTCAGCCAGAGCCCAGAGGGTGTACGTGGGTGTATGTGGGTGCAGGTGCGGGCAGCTGGCCACCCTGCAGATTGTTCTAGAATGTGGACATAAGGAATGTCTGACTGGTGTGCACATGGAGGCCCTGGCACTGTCTGCAACCACCTGTCCCAGGCTCAGGGTATGCAGCCTGCGGCTGACGTCATCAATAACCCAAAAGGACCCTGGATGGCACTGTTCTGGAACATTCTGAATCCCTCCCATGCCCCCCAGGAGGGAGGTGGCCAGGCCCGGCCGCCGCCCTGCCCCCGCGGTCACCTTTGGCGCTGGAGGTGATGGCCTTGATGGCCAGGTCGTACGAGTTGGCGGCCAGCACAAAGTCTGCCCGCTGGTAGTGGGCGTTGCCGCACTCGCGCTTCCGGTTGGCCAGGGCCACGCGCTCCTGGCCGGTGAGCGTCTCCAGGTCGGGCCCGTCCACGGCCGTCTTCAGGGTCACCTCCAGGCACAGGGCCGCGTGCGGGGGAATATATGGGCTCCTGCTGGGGTGGGGGGTGAGGAGGGGGCAGGCAGGGGGTGCCACTCAGACCTGGGAGGATGTGGGAGGGAATGGGGCAGGTGGGAGAGCCCCTGACCCAGGTCCCCGGGCATGCTGGGCTGGCTCAGGAGCAGGCAGGCGAGGGGCTGGCTTTTGGCTAACAATCCTGCGGTCCCCACTGGGGTGGCTTCTGCCTGCCAGCAAGTGAGCAAGCAGGTAGGAAAATTCTCTTTCTCTCCCCCGCCCCCGGGCCAGGAGCAGGTAGCATCCTTGCCACTCCTCAGCCCACACCCGGCGGGCACTCACCTGCCCTGGCCACTCCTCAGCCCACACCCGGCGGGCACTCACCTGCCCTGGCCACTCCTCAGCCCACACCCGGTGGGCACTCACCTGCCCTGGGGGCCGTAGCAGTACTTGGAGTCAGCAGTGACCATGGCCGTCTCCCCCACGTCCATGAGTGGGACGCTGAGGTCCAGGGCCTGCGGGGGGCAGGGTCAGGTGGGGTCAGGCCCGGGGAGGCCTCCCCCGCATCCTCCATCGCCACTGGGCCTTGCGCGCGCTGGCGCCCGCACCTGGATGACGTCACAGTCTCCCAGCGTGAACATCAACTCCGGGTCCTCCTGCACGCGTGTGCCGTTCTCCAGGGACGTCTGCAGGTGCACGGTGACCACCTGGCCCTTGGAAGGCCGGCTGGAGCCGGGCGGCCCCGGGACCAGCGTCTTCTTCCTCAGCAGCCCGTTGCCTGCCAGCGGGGGGACACAGGCGCACACACAGTCTGTCACCACACTGTCCGCGGGCTGGGGGCAGGGTTCACGCCCTGTCCACTTCCTGCCCAGGCACACAGGAGTTCCTTCAGAGGAGGAAGCCGGCCCCTGGCGACAGATTTAGAGCATGCCAACCATGGGAAGCGCTGTGTCACAAAATGGCAGCTCAGGGCCAGCACGATGGCACAACAGGCTAATCCTTGCCTTCAAACATGGCACCCCGGGCCTAGCGTGGTGGCCTAACGGCTAAAGTCATGACCTTGCATGAGCCGGCATCCCATATGGGCGATGGTTCTAATCCCACCCAGCTCCCTGCCTGTGGCCTGGGAAAGCAGTGGAGGACGGCCCAAAGCCTTGGGCCCCTGCACCCGCGTGGGAGACCCGGGAGAGGCTCCTGGCTCCTGGCTTCAGATAGGCCTGTATTAACGGATGGAAGATTTTTCTGTCTCTCCTTCTCTCTGTAAATCTGATGTACCTTCCCAACACATTTTTAAATCTTAAATAAATAAATAAATACAGAGACGCCCACGCAGTCAGTAGCAGTGGTTTCTGGCAAGGGGTAGACTCAAAGGTGACCTTGAACCTGGCCCCTGCTGGTACCTTCCTGCTCAAGCGTCCCAAGGCGGACGAGCCTGGCACGCACGCCGCGCTCCCAGCCCCACCTCTGCGGGCATCTGGGGGAGGAAACCCTCATTCTAGAACACTCTCTCTTGCAGTCTCTCAAACGAGTTGGTTCCACCGCGTCGCTTCCCCGGGGACTCCCGTGGGCACCACACCATTTCCCACAAACTGTCGCTCCTGGCAGCCCTACCTTTCCAATTTTTGTGGTTTCCAAAACAAGCCTGTCATTTATTTCTATTTTTACAACTTTTAAAAAATTATCTACATCAAGGGCAAAGTTAGAGAGAGATGCCGCGTCGGCTGGCTCGCTCCCCAGACAGCCACAGTGGACAGCACTGGACCAGGCCAAAGCCAGGAGCCAGGAGCCTCTTCCGGGTCTCCCTCGCGGGTGCAGGGTCCCAAGGCTGTGGGCCGTCCTCCACTGCTTTCCCAGGCCACAGGCAGGGAGCTGGATGGGAAGTGGGGCAGCCGAGACTTGAACCGGTGCCCCTATGGGATGCCGGCGCTTGCTAGGTGGAGGATTAGCTAACTGAGCCATTGCGTTGATGCGTTCAGATACAAAACCTTTAAGAGTTAAAGGAGGAAGGGGGTGTCGGGGTCAGCGCCAGCTGACGCCACCAGTGACGTCAGCCCGGGCAGATCCTGACAGGGCGTGTGGGCACGAGCTCTGGGGAGCCCGGGTGTGCATACTAACGAGCCAGTGGGGGAGGGCAGGTGCAGCGGCGTGGCAGGCCCCAGCCTCCTGGCCACAGGCTGGACACAAACACAGGACCTGCAGAAAGCCCAGGGAGGGTGCTGGGGCGGCAGAGGCAGGGAGCTGCGGGCAGCCGGGCTGTGGCCAGGTGACTGAGCCTGCTGCTGCTGCCGCCGGCTTGGGCACAGGGCCAGCGTGCAGTGTGTACGTCCCCTCCGGACCCCCCACCTCCCACCGCAGTCACCCGCTAGGGCCAGGCTCAGGTCACCCATGGCCAGCTCGGCTCCCGGGCTGCTTACCTAAAATATCCTGCCACTCCTCGGGGGCCGGGGCCGGCGCGGGTGCAGGCTCCATGGTGGCCAGGAACTCCCGGGCCAGGGCCCCGGGCTGCTGCCCCTGCCCCTCGGCCTCCTCCGGAGGGGCCTGGGCCATGTCCTCCAGGGGCGGGAGCTCGCTCAGGTCTCCGTCCTCCTCCTCCTCCTCCTCCTCCTCCTCGGCCTCAGCGTCCTCCACTGCGTCCAGCACCTCGAAGTCCTCGAGCCGGGGGACCCCGGCAGGGGGCGGGGCCCTGGGCTCGGCAGGTTCAGCGCAGGAGGCCATGCCCGCCGTGGCCGTGGCAGTGACCGTGACCGCCGCCGCTGCTGCTGCTGCTGCTGCTGGGGGGAACGGCAACTGGCCCTGGGGGGTCGGGGGGACACGGGGAAACAGATGAGCCCCCACTCAGCAGTGGCCGGCAAGTGGGATGAGAACCCAGGATGAACTCAACATCCCAAATAGAAACCCTAGGCCGCTTGCACCCCACACCCCACAAACACACACAACACCCCAAGACTCTAAAGGAAAGGAAGTGTCCCCCGAGTCACGGCCCTGAGGTGGGGGACCCCAGGCCTAGAATCCCCGGCTCCTGCCAAGGGGCATCGCTGCCCCGTGCCCACCAGGGACCCCAGCACCGGGACCCTCTCCTCAGGGGGACCCCCTTGCGTACCTTCACCCCCATGCAGGGTCTGTTGGGGACACTGTGCCCCCCCCACACACACACCACCATCTTTCCCATCATCAACGGACCCTCACCCCATCCACACACGCACAGCCTCGTGCAGGCCTCGGTCCCCTACAACCGCAACAGGGCCTTGCTAACCTTCACCTGCCCGCTGCTTCCCCGGGCGTGGGGGGCACGGGGCCCCCCGATTTCCCGAGCCCGTCTCCCAGCCCCCCACGGCCCCGGACGGGCTCCCCCACATACACACAGCACGGCACACCGCACCCCGGTGTCCCCCAAACGGCTCCCCCTCAACCCCCAAGCCCGACGCCGACCCCGTCGCCCCGGGGCCCGACCTCCCCCGCCCCCCGACGACACCGACAACGTCGCCCACCACCCCGGCCGCCCCGCGCCGCCCGGCCCCCCGAGACGGCGCCCACCCCGGGGACACGTGCCTCGGCCGCCCGGAGACCCCCTGCCTGGGGTCGTGAGCCCCCCTCCCCGCCCCCCAGCCGCCGCCGCCGCGCCTCGGGGAAACCAAGGTCCGGGCGGGCGCGGCCCCACCCCCGCGCCGCTCATTGGCCGGCGCCGCGGCTGCGCGCGCGCGCATTGGCTGGGCACGCGCGTCCGTCACGCTCCCGCGAGGCACCGCCCCCTTCCTGCTCGGGCTCGGCGGGGTGTTCTTAAAGGGGCCGCTTTGGGGGTGGCGGGAGTTGTTTGGGGTCGGTGGCGAGGGGTCGGGTTCCCTGAGCTAGAACTGCCCCCACGCGGGGCGGCAAGGCCGGGTCTGGGGGCGACTCTCTCGGCTTGGAGTCTCGGGTTTTTCTCCAAGGTTCAGCCGCACCCCGCGGCTGCTCCGCAGCACCCTGAGGATTTGGGGGGCCGGTGGGTGGGTGGGCGGAGAGGGGTCCGGGTGCTGGGAAGGGTCGTGGTGTTGAGTGGCGTTTCCCTGAGGCTCCACGCCTCTGCTCGCTGGGACTGCGGCCCCAGCTCTGAGGGTGCACCGCAGGCGGCCTCGGGATGGGGTGCGGGTGGGGGGCAGCACCCCACACAGCGTGCTCCCCACCCTGGGCTCTCTCCTCCGTCCCTAATGCCTTGCTGGTGCTTGCCCTGGGGGCCGGGGGTGCAGGGGCGGTCCCTCCTCCCCAGGCCGGCCGTGCTGACCACGGTGACGTCCCGTGGCCCCTGCAGGAGGGGGGCACGCCACCACATGGGGGACTACTGTTTGTTATACTTCCATTTCAGCTTACTGTCCCCTTTCTGGAAAGTTCTCAGCGTTGCTGGTGGGTTTTGAGGGGGAGAACTCCCACACTAACCCCGTCCCCCGTAGCCTGGGGACGGACAGGAATAGGATTAATCCATAGGCGAGCAGAATGAATGAACTCAATGGGGCTCCCTGTGAGAGCAGGGATGCCACTGGGCCGGCCTCCTCCAGGAAGCGAGCCTTGACCGCCCCAAGTTATTTAAGAAAAAGATATTCCTTGCTTATGGACTGGGAGAGCAGTGTAATGTAGTATATTTTAAAGGCCCAACATGATGGCTTAACTGGCTAATCCGTGCCGGTATGTGCTAGCATGCCATATGGGCGCCGGTTCAAGTCCTGGCTGCTCCACTTCCCATCCAGCTCCCTGCCTGTGGCCTGGGAAAGCAGTGGAGGATGGCGCACAGCCTTGGGACCCTGCACCCGCGTGGGAGACCCGGAAGAGGCTCCTGGCTCCTGGCTTCAGACCAGCACAGCTCCAGCTGTTGTGGCCACTTGGGGAGTGAACCAGCGGATGGCAGATCTTTCTCTCTGTCTCTCTTCTCTGCAGATATGCCTTTCCAAGAAAATAATCTTTTTAAAAAAATAAGTAAAAAAAAAAAAAATCAGAAGAATCCAACCACCAACTGAAATCAACAGGCTGCCATCCCCAGCGGGGTCCTCCTAGTGGCTCCCATGGGCGCAGGCGGAGGTGCGTTCACAGCCCTGTCCTAGGCCATGCACTCCGGGCCAGCGGTCAGCCCTGCTCGCGACACGGAACCGTCCCAAGGGATCCCGTGGCCCTCCAGCCCCCTGAACTTGTGGCCTTGGAACGGGTTATCACACACCCGCTCCGGTCTGACTTAATGAACGGGACTCTACCATCGGCTGGTTCACTCCCCACACGCAGGGCCGGCCTGAAGCGGGCAGCCAGGGGCTCCGTCCAGGTGTCCCCTCGCCCGTGGGTGACGGGCTCAGGTCCTCCACCGCTGCTGCCTTCCAGGCCCTGTTAGCAGGAAGCTGTGTTCCCTGTCCCTGGGGAGAGCCGCCCCAGCCTCACGCCCCTGGCGCCTTGATGCCTGCACCCCTTCTCGGACCTTCCAGATACATCCTGGCTTTCGACAGACCCTGGTTCCCATAGCTGGCACACAGCCATCAGGGACCCACAGGCTGGTCCCAGAAAATTCCCCCATTCCCTCCCCCTGCTAGCTCTCGTTCCAACGCCAACCCCCTTAATGCCTGGAAAACTCCTATTGTAACTTCCAAACCCCATGGAGGTACACCTGCCTCCTAGCCGTCCTCCCCATGAGCCCCTTATTTCCCAGGTTCCTCTATCTGCAAACACGGGAACCCCACACGGCTGGGGTTGTGCACCGTCCTCACTCCGCCTCCCTTCTAGGAAACGGGGCAATTTTTAAATCCGGGACCGATGCCACAGAGTAGCAGGCGCCTGCATCCCCCAAGGTCACAGGTTCGCGTCCCGGCTGCTGCTACTTCAACGTCTCATCCAGCTCCCTGCTGCCGGTTATTGGATCACTCCCCAAAATGGCCACAGCGGCCAGGGCTGGGCTGGGCTGGGCAGGAGCCAAAAGCCAGGAATTCCATTCTGCAGCGCCAACATGGGTGGCGCGCACGCCCAGCCTGTTAACTGCTTCCATTCTGGGTTTGTTGTTGTCTGGCTCTGTTCTGGAGCTGGGCCAGGCCAGAGGCAGGAGCCTCCCCGTGGGGGTGGCTGGCACCCTGGCACCCGCGCAATGGGGTGTGCATTGTTGCAGCTCTGGTTGCAGACGGGGGTCCAGGGAGCAGGGACACCCCTGGAGCAGGAACACCCACCCACCCACCCAAGCCCCGGAACCAGGTGCAAAAATCCCATGACCCAGGCAGCAAAGGGTCCTGGCGGGTGGGCTCCACTCCAGGGAGTGTCTCCAGGAGGACCCTCCTAAACGGACCCGGAAACTCACTAAAGAAATCCTAGTTGGCGTGCCATTTGCGACGCCGGCATCCCACAGGGAGGCCGCCCCGGGTTCGAGTCCCGGCTGCTCCACTTCCAATCCAACTGCCTACTGAAGGCGCCCGCGGAGGCAGCAGGGAGCTGGTGGACAGACCTCAGTATTACGGGCTATGAAATGGGACATACCTTGCGGCCCTAACCCCCTTCCGGACTGCCTTAGATGCGCACGGTCTTGGCCGACTGCGCAGGCGCGGGCGCGAGAGGCGCTCTTGGATTGGACGCTCGTGCTGCCACACGCGCGGATGGTCCCTTCCCCGGCAGCTACGTCCCGCCTCTTCCGGTCCGGTCGCCCCCCAGGGCGCCGTAGGGGTCGCGCGCCTGACGCCACGGCGTGCGCGGTGACGTCGCGGCGGCGCGGGCGCCATCCCGGAAGCGTGAGCCAGGCTGGCCGAGGTGTAGGTGCAGCCGCCTCCGCGGGGCGTTCAATGTCGGGGTGCGGGTGTTGTGGGGGGGACGACGTCGGGGCCGGGGAAGCTGGACCGGGTCGGGCCGGGCGCTGGCATGGCGGTGTGGGACCGGGGCGCCGCTAGCCGCAGCTGGGGGTGCACCTGCCGGGGTGCACGCGTGGGGGTGCGGGATGTGGGGGACCCCCTGGGACCCGAGGGAGCCCAGTCACCCTCCGTGCTTCAGGACTGCACCTCCCCAACCCGACCGGGGTGCTCCCCTCCCGCTAAGGCGTCACACTCCTTTAGGGGGGCGAACCTGCTGGGGTGCATACGTGGGGATGCGGGGCGCGGGATGTGGGGGACCCCATGCCACCCGAGGAGCCGAGTCACCCGACTGGGGTGCTCCCCTCCCCTTAAGGTGTCACTGCTTTAGGGGAAAGAACCTGCTGCCCCCTTCGTGCTGGCTGTCAGCCCCCCACTTCTGCACTGTGACTTTTTTTTAAAGATGTATTTATTTTTAGCGGAAAAGCAGATATACAGAGAGGAAGCTCTTCCTTCTGATGGGTCACACGCCAAATGACCACAAGACAGCTGGAGCTGAGCCCGTCCGAAGCCAGGAGCCTGGAGCTTCTTCCGGGTCTCCCACCTCCGCTGCTTTCTCAGGCCACAAGCAGGGAGCTGGATGGGACGCGGGGCTGTCGGGGTTAGAACTGGCGCTCATATGGGATCCCAGTGGTTGCAAGGCGAGGCCTTCAGTAGCTACGCTCTTGCACAGTCCCTGCACCTTATGCCCATTTCCTGGATGAGAAAACTGAGGCAAGGGTGCCATCACCTTCTGCAGGGTCACCCAGCCTCCCTGTCCCTCTGATGGGACCCGCGGGCGGACAAGGCAGGCTAGTGGTCAGCGGGCGGGCCGTGCGAGCCCCGGGTGCAGCTGGCACAGTCCCTGGGTTTTTTGTTGTCTTGTTTGTCTTTATGGAGGCCTGAACGGCGTCCTGTTCCACAGCTCCTAACTCCCTCTGTCCGGGCCCTGCGCACGCCACGCTCACTGGGGTCAGGACACAGCACGTCATCCTGGCTCCTCTGTGTTTTTGGTTTTGTTTTGTTTTGGAAAACATGAAGAATTGCTTGTTAACATTTGCCAAGAAGGCGATTTCACGGACGGGGCAGCAAAACAGATCTCTTACCATGACTTTTTTGTTTTAAGCCCCTCTGCCAAACACTTGGGAATCGGCCGTGGGAAGCGGGGCAGCTGGTCGTCACGGTGGGCCGTGACACCTGCTGAGAGTGACCTGTTTATGCCAGCCATGGGGCGTGGGCTCGCTGGCCTGTGTGCGCGTCTCCCCCATCCTCGGTCAAGGTTTATTTGTTTTTTATTGGAAAGAAAGATTTCCAAAGAAAAGGAGAGACAGAAAGATCTTCCATCTGCCGGTTCACTCCCCAAAAGGCCCCAATAGCCAGAGCTGAGTCGATCTGAAGCCAGGAGCCTCTTCCAGGTCTCCCACGTGGGTGCAGGGTCCCAAGGCTGTGGGCCGTCCTCCACTGCTTTCCCAGGCCACAAGCAGGGAGCTGGGTGGGAAGTGGAGCTGCCGGGATACGAACTGACATCTCTATAGGATCCCATTGCTTGGAGGTGGAGGATTAACCCGCTGAGCCACTGCGCTGGGCCTCCTTCACATTGAATCCTAACCGGTTGCACAAGGGCCTTCTGGATGTCAAGAACCAAGCCAGATCAACCATGCAGATTTTGTCCTGAATACCCCCCCACACACACACAATCTGGTCTGTCTCCTCCCCAGCCACCAGGGTGGTCCTCTGCCTGCCTTGCATGCCAGGAGCCTGAGGGCACTCATCCTGGGATTCTCGCTAGCCAAAGTCCTACCATGTCAGAGCTGCGTTGGTAAAGCTCTGCCGCCTGGCAGTGCCTGGATGCCTGCTGGGAGCCGCAGGCTGCGTCAGGCGCAGGGGGCACGGGAGGCCAGGGGCAGGCGGAGTCCCTGGGGGCGGCGAGCTCCGCTCCGGAGAGTCAGTTTTGTGTTTAGGCTGCTTGTCTCCTAGCAGTTTTGTTTGTTTGTTTTGAGTAAGAACCAGTAGTTAATTTCAAAGACTGAAGGACGGATTTTCCATCTGCTGCCCCCCTCCCCAAATGCCCACAGCAGCCAGGGCTGAGCCAGGGAAACCTGGGGGTCAGGAGCTCCATCCAGGGACCCCACGGCCATGGGCCGTCCTCCACTGCTTTCCCAGGCCACAGGCAGGGAGCTGGATGGGAAGCTGTGCTGCCACAGGGGCTCAGAGGGGCACTGACGTGGGATGCCACAGTCCCAGGCAGCGGCTTAAGATGCTGAGCTGTTGGAACCAGCTCAGTGGCCTGGCAGCTAAAGTCCTCACCTTGAACATGCCAGGGTCCCATATGGGCGCCGGTTCTAATCCCAGCTGCCCCACTTCCCATCCAGCTCCCTACCTGTGGCCTGGGAAAGCAGTGGAGGATGGCCCAAAGCCTTGGGACCCTGCACCCGCGTGGGAGACCTGGAAGAGGCTCCTGGCTCCTGGCTTCAGATTGGCTCTCCTCCAGCCAATGTGGTCACTTGGGGAGTGAATCAGAGGACGGAAGATCTTCCTCTGTCTCACCTCCTCTCTGTATATCTGACTTTCCAATTAAAATAAATAAGTCTTAAAAAAAAAAAAAAAGCTGAGCTGCAATGCAGGCCCCATGCCATGCCCTGATAAGACCATTGCGTATGCTCTGTTTGGGGCACAGATTGAGGGTAACAGGTGGCGAAGCGGGGAAGAGGGGTGTTGAGGGAGCTGTCTGGAACACCCACAGACCCCGTGCAGATGCCCTGGGCTGGTGTCTCCCCCCCCCCCACACACACACACCCCACAGCCCCTGAGCGTCCTGGGCCAGGGGCAGCGGGGTGGCACTGGTAAAATCTGAGGGAAGTCCCATTGCAAACCCCAAGCCTTTTACAGTCCTTCCTTTTCCTGCCTGCCCAGGCCGCGGCGCAGGACATGGAGCAGCCCGACTCGGCCTCGAGGCTCTTCTGCGGCCGCATCCTGAGCATGGTCAACGCGGATGACGTCAGCGCCATCATCCTGGCCCAGAAGAACATGTGAGCGGGGTGTGGGGAGGGGGCCAGGTGCCGGCTGGTGCTGGAGCGAGGTCGGAAGGCGAGGCCCGGAGCTCAGGCCATGTCCCCAGGGCACCTGGCACCTCCTGCAGGGCTTGGGTGGCCAGGCCACCAGGGCAGGCACAGCTTCATTTATCTAAAAGACGGCCAGAAGGGGAGTTTGTCTTCCATCGCCCAGCGGGTCACTCTCCACATGGCCACAGCAGCCAGGAGCTCCATCGGGTCTCCCACGCGGGTGGCAGTGCCCCCCCCAGCCCTTGGGCCATCTTCTGCTACTTTCCCAGGTGTATGAGCAGGGAGCTGGTTGAGAGCTGGAGCAGCCGGGTCTCGAACCCGTAGTCAATTATTGGAAGCCGGCATTACGGGGGGCAGCTTATCGCGCTGTGCCACACAGCAGGGCCGCTGGAGATGCGAAGCTCCTGGCATGTTCCATTGGCCATGCAGCGGGGCCCGCAGCGCATTCCTTTCCCTCGGCCCCAGCCAAGGGGTCCCAGGGTCTCTGCCTTGTGCCCAGGCCCCTGGGTCTTTTTTTTTTTTTTCCCAAAATCTCTTTGATGCATCTGGAGGGCAGAGAAAGCTCTCTGCTTGGTCACCACCCCCGTAGCCCCAGAAGCATGCCAAAAAGAAAAAACAAACATCCAGCTCTCCCACAGGGCCAGCCAGGACCCAGCCTTCGGGCCCGCTCCCACCGTCTCCCCTGGGTGCCTTAGCAGAGAGTCAGGGTCCAGGGAACCCAGGGCAGGAACTTACCACCAGCCACAACGCCCGGTCCCCCTGTGGTCCTGGAGTTCAGACTAAGACCTGCAGACCATCCTGCCCCCGCCCCCCAAGTCGGGACGGGTACATGAAGTCAGACACAGAACAGCACCCCGCCCCCCCCGAACCAGCATGGCGTGATGGTGCCGGCGTGGGGCTGAGAGCAGGCTGCCAGAGCCCAGGGCGGGCGAGGGGCTGGGGAGAGAAGTCGGGGCGGCACGAGGGGCGCTCAAGGCTGAACAAACAGCACCTGGCTGGGCCAGGCGCCCGCAGACTGCAAAGGCAGGAAGGCGTGTTGGCAGGCCAGGCTGCGGGGCACCTCTCTCCGTCTGTCTTCCTCTCCGACCTCTCTCTGCCTTATGCTTTCTGTCTCTCCCTCCCGCTCTGCCCCCTCCCGCCCCAGGCTGGACCGCTTTGAGAAGACCAACGAGACGCTGCTCAACTTCAACCAGCTGTCGGGCGCGCGGCTGCAGCACATGAGCGAGCGCTTCCTGCAGCACACGCGCACGCTGCTGGAGATGAAGCGCGACCTGGACAGTGTCTTCCGCCGCATCAGGTGGGGGTGCCCGCGCCGGCCCCGCGCCCTGCCTGGCGCTCCCCAAGGCGCTCTTCCCGCACTTGAAGTGACACGCCATTCCGGTGCCAAGATCAGAAACGTGGCACACTTCATTTTTCCAGTTGAAACTGTATGGGTTGCCCTGCTGGAAGGGTCAAGAGTCCCCAGGGGTGTTTGTTTGTTTTCTTTTTCCTTCTACTGGTTCACTTCCTAAATGGGCCTCCCGCAGCCAGGGCGGGCAGGGAGAGCGGGCCACGACACCCAGCGGCCCTGCGGCCAGGCGAGGCATCGCTGGGGGCCGGCTGGTGGGCACCCTCCCTGCTGTGCCAGGGAGCAACACGGGCACCCCATACGGGCGGACGGTCTCAGCTTCTCCCTCCCTCCCCGGCAGGACCCTGAAGGGGAAGCTGGCCCGACAGCATCCGGAAGCCTTCAGCTGTAAGTGGCACCCGCTTGGGGCTGAGCCTGCATGGAGGGACCAACAGGGAGGGGAAGGGGCGTCTGTGAGTGTCCCCATGGGGAGAGTCGTTGTTTCAGGAGCAGCACACTTGGGAGTCACCTGTAACTGGCCAGCACCCCAAAGCTGACACACCCCACCAGGGTCTGCCTCCTTCCCCGCTGGCAGCCGCCCCATGCCAGCCCCAGGGCCCCGGGGGGCAGGCGGCAGGCAGCCGAGCCCACCGGCCCGGCCTCCCCCGACCCCAGACATCCCGGAGGCATCGCTCCTGGAGGACGAGGACGACGACCCCATCCCGCCCAGCACCACCACCACCATCGCCACCTCGGAGCAGAGCACCGGCTCCTATGAGGACAACAGCAGCCCGGACACCGCGTCGCCCTCCCTCAGCCCGGGCTTCGAGGACCTGTCCCCTGCCGCCCTCAACGGCTGCCGCAGCCCCACGGAGGACGGGGAGACGCCCCCGCCGCGGCCGGGCCAGTAGCCCGACCCTGAGCCCACTGGACTGCCCAGGAGCTGGGGGGCGCAGGGCGGCCCGGGCACAGCAGAGCCACCGCAATATTTTTGTAGCCCATCGCCAAGACGCTGTTGAAGTTCTCAATAAAAGAGGGCAGCTACGGCAAGGGGAACGCCTGCGTCTGCCTGTGTGTGCGCGCGCGCCTTCGCAGGCCCCTTCCCCTCAACCAGAGCTAGCTGGCAGCCCCCACCAAGCGTTCCTGGGCGGACACGCCAGTCCCACCTGCCCTCCTGTTGTGCCCGGATCCGCCGCGACAGCCGTGCCACGCTCGGGTCTGCTGGAACTGTGGCAGCTCAGCCGTGCCACGCTCAGGTCTGCTGGAACTGTGGCAGCTCAGCCGTGCCACGCTCAGGTCTGCTGGAACTGTGGCAGCTCAGCCGTGCCACGCTCAGACCTCGACTTCCCCAAATGAATCACCAGGAATCCCTCGTTGACGCACGCGCACAAGGACCCTTTGTTCGAACTCCAGCCTGGGTCCCAACCAGCAGTCCCAGCGGTTCCAGACTGGGGTACGAGACTGGACGGCACAGGGATTTTATTCATTTAATTTTTAAAGATTTATTTATTTTTATTGACGGATATACAGAGAGGAGGAGAGACAGAGAGGAAGATCTTCCGTCCACTGGTTCACTCCCCAAGTGACCACAATGGCTGGAGCTGAGCTGATCTGAAGCCAGGAGCCAGGAGCCTCTTCTGGGTCTCCCACGCGGGTGCAGGGTCCCAAGGCTGTGGGCCGTCCTCCACTGCTTTCCCAGGCCACAGGCAGGGAGCTGGGTGGGAAGCAGGGCCGCCGGCAGGCATATGGGATCTTGCTGCGTGCAAGGTGAGGAGTTTAGCCACTAGGCCACTGCGCCAGGCCCCCATTTCTTTTATAATTTTTTTCTTTATTTTTGACAATCTTTACATAGTTAGGGCACAAAGGTTCAGGCTACAGGAAAGTGGGTAAGGCTATTATTTCCACATTTTTTTTTTCCTGTATCTGGGGGGAAGTGGGAGATACAGGGAGAAGGCCCCCTCCCACCCACCCCCGGCCCCCGACGTGGGCATGCTCCGAGGGCACCGCTCAGGTGGTTTCGACAGTTCAGCAGCTCTGAAAAGCTGCCAGTCTCGCCACGCCACGCACGGTGAAATCTCCAGAATCCACTGGCTGGCACAGTCCACCTTAGCGTCGCGGCTTGCCAGCGCATGGCTGGGGCAGATGATGGGTTCCTTCTGCCCCTGTGCTGGCACCAGGTGCCCTCTGCAGGTTCCGATGGGCCGCCATGTCCTCCCTGTGCACCTGGACGTGCTGCTCGGGCCGAGCCTCTGGGGAGCCCCAGCTCACACGTGCACCCCACGGTCAGACCCCGGCCCCTGCTTCTCTCCGTGCTCGGGGTTCTGGGGTCGGCCGCTCAGCTGGAGAGATCTAACGCATCCCCCGCCCGCCAGGGAACCTTCTACATCACGTGCAAGCGTGGGGTCCAGGCCCCCGGCCCCCCACCTGCCCCCTGGGTCCCACAGGCAAGAGCCACGACGCCGGGGAGCCGGAAAGGCCGGCCACGCCCCCGGAAGCGAGGGGCGGGCGCTCGCCCATCCGCGCCGCGGCTTCGTTTGCCAGCACGGAACATGGCGGCGGAGGGGCGGGGCCGCGGATTGTGACGCAGCGCGCAGGCGCGGCGGGCGGCGACGCGGCCTGTTCCGCTTCCGTCGTCCTCTTTCTCTCCAGCCGGGCGGCCGAGCGGGTTGGTGGCGGCGGGCGCGGGTGGGATGGCGGTGCGGGCCGGGCTGGCGGGGCTGGCGGGGCTGGCGGGGGCCGTGCGGGCTCGTGCGGGCTCGTGCGGGGCTGGCGGGGCTGCTCCCCGTGCGCCCGGGGCTCCCCGCGCTCGCCTAGGCCGCAGGCGCCGCTTTGGGGGTTCGGCAGCCTGTGGTGGGGACCCCACGAGGCGGGCGGGCGGACGAGCGGGCGGCCTGGGCAGGGCGCTGGGGAAGGGGCCGGGGCGGCGGCCACGTGCTGGGCCGCCATGGCCTCCCGCTGCGGCGTGGGGGCCTCACCCGCCCGCGTCCCCCCACACGCACACCCCTAGTGCCTCAGACGCCACCATGCAGATCTTCGTGAAGACCCTCACGGGCAAGACCATCACCCTCGAGGTGGAGCCCAGCGACACCATCGAGAACGTCAAGGCCAAGATCCAGGACAAGGAGGGTGAGTTCGGGGACCCCGAGCCGAGGGTCGTGGGGTCTGGGGGCGTCCCAGGCTGAGAACCCGAGCCGAGGACCGTGGGGTCTGGGGGGGCCCAGGCTGAGAGCCCGAGCCGAGGGCCGTGGGGTCTTGGGGGGTCCCAGGCTGAGAGCCCGAGCTGAGGGTCGTGGGGTCTGGGGGCGTCCCAGGCTGAGAACCCGAGCCGAGGGTCGTGGGGTCTGGGGGGGCCCAGGCTGAGAGCCCGAGCCGAGGACCGTGGGGCTTTGGGGCACCCTGAGCTGAGACCGTGGGAATACAGGGAACCCTGAACCGAGGGCTGTGGGAATATGGGGGACCCCGAACTAAGGACAGTGGGAACACGGGGGACCCTGAGCCTGCGGTGCTGGTTTTGGGGGCTGACCCAGAGCCTGGTGCCATTGAGTACTGACATTTGGGGGCCTTGGCTGGGGGGTGGGAGCTGCACTGGGATGTTCCCCCTATGCGCCCACCGCACTGTTGCGAGAGGAGCTCATGAGCTTTTCTGGGGCGCCCCCCCCCCCCTTGCAGGCATCCCCCCGGACCAGCAGCGTCTCATCTTTGCCGGAAAGCAGCTGGAGGATGGCCGCACTCTGTCGGACTACAACATCCAGAAAGGTGACCTGGCTGGGCGGTCCGGCCTGGGGTGGCAGCCATGGCCCGGCTGGTGTGCGGGTCTGGTGGGTGAGATCGGCCCCTGCCATCCCTGCAGGCAGTTGGGCAACTGCACTTGGTAAACATTCAAAAGGCAGAAAGGGTCATCCATCTGCTGGTTCATTCCCCAAGTGGCCACAGCAGCCTCCCCTGGGTCTCCCACGCAGGTGCAGGGTCCCAAGGCTTTGAGCCGTCCTCCACTGCTTTCCCAGGCCACAGGCAGGGAGCTGGATGGGAAGTGGAGCAGCCGGGATTAGAACCGGTGCTCATATGGGATGCCAGCGCTGGCAGCGGGAGGAGTAGCCACCTTCAGCCACCGCAGTATTTGCTCTGGCCTGTGTGCGGGCTGTCTCCTCTGCTGTGTGTTTATTGGGGGGCACGCGAGCCCGGGGGCTGCCAGCTGTGGGCTCACTGTCTGAGGAGGAGCTGTAGCTAGGAGATGGTGAACTCCCCAGGGAGGCCGGCACGGAAGCTGCAGGGCCGGACCTCCCCGCCCTGCCCCTTTGAGAGGGTCGGGTGCTGACGGGGCGCCCCCTTGCCCTGCAGAGTCCACGCTGCACCTGGTGCTCCGCCTGCGGGGTGGCATCATCGAGCCGTCCCTGCGCCAGCTGGCCCAGAAGTACAACTGTGACAAGATGATCTGCCGCAAGTAGGTGCGGGTCCGGGGGCGGGGCGGGGCGTGCCCTCTGCTGCCCACTCACCACCTTCCCGCACAGGTGCTACGCCCGCCTGCACCCCCGGGCCGTCAACTGCCGCAAGAAGAAGTGTGGCCACACCAACAACCTGCGCCCCAAGAAGAAGGTCAAATAAGGCCCTCCGGGGTGCCCGCCCGCGCCCACGGCCTCAATAAAGTTTCCTTTGGTTGACTTGAGCAGCAACTAGTGTGTCCCTCGGCTGGTCTGTCCAGGAGTGCGCCGGGCGCGGCTCGGTGGCACTGTGTCCGTGACGGTCCCCCCACAGCACTGGGTGTGCCATGGGCTGCACAGGAAGGCAGGCACACAGGCTGCACACACACCTGCTGATTCAGGACCCTCCTCAGGGTCTCCAGAGGAGTGTGGGGTCCCAAGGCTTGGGGCCGTCCTCCACGGCTTTCCACAGGCAGGGAGCTGTAGAGGTGGAGCAGCCAGGACAGGAACATGGTTGCAATGAGAGGATTACGCCATCACATGGGGAGACCTTGGCGTTCAGGGTGGCTGTCCCAGGGCGCTTGTTGAGCTCACAGCCTCACGCAGCCTGCTCCTACAGGGACTGCAGGGTTTCTGTGTTGGTGTCAGTACTGCAGGCAGTAGCTTCACCGACTACGCCGCAGCACAGGCCCTTGGCACTGGCCGTTGGGGTGCAGCCGCCACGTGGGACCTGGGTGGGGTTCCGGGCTTGTTTACACACACACCCCGGCAGGCGGGAGCTCTCATGCTGCCTGGACCTGCCATCTCAGCACAGAGAAGCGTTGACAGGGGCCGAGGGCTTCCAGAAACCCCTCAGTGGGCATCCACGCACAGGCCAGGCGCCTTCTGCCCGGGGCCGCTAGACAAATTCCAGTTCAGCTTGGTTAAAATTTGTACTGAAGAGTCAGAAGGGAATGTCTGTCCACTGATCGACTCCCAGTGTGGCCACGACAGCTGGAGCTTCTCCCGGGTCTCGCATGCCCGTGCAGGGTCCAAGTACTGGCCCCGAGCAGGAGCTGGGTGGGAAGTGGAGCAGTCGGGGTGGGAACCGGAGTCCACATGGGATTCTAGCACTTGCAAGGTGAGGACTTCAGCCACTAGGCTACTGTGCTGGGCCCTCTTTAAAATTTATTTTTATTGGGGATCCGGTGTGGTGGCCTAGCAGCTAAAGTCCTTGTCTTCAAGGTGCTGGGATCCTGTGGGACGCTGGTTCTGATCCCAGCAGCTCCACTTCCCACCCAGCTCCCTGCCTGTGGCCTGGGAAAGCAGTGGAGGACGGCCCAAAGCCTTGGGACCCTGCACCCGCGTGGGAGACCCAGGGGAAGCTCCCGTCTCCTGGCTGTGGATCGGCTCAGCTCCGGCCATTGCAGCCGCTTGGGGAGTGAATCATTGGACACAAGATCTTCCTCTCTGTCTCTCTTCTGTGTATCTGACTTTGCAATAAAAATAAATATGTTTTTAAAAAATTATTTTTATTGGGACGTCAGGTTTGGGAGAGAAGGGGAGTTCGTGGGCTGTGGTTATGAGCAGGGCATACAAGGGACTAGCTGAACCAACACCCGTTGAGGCTGAGATGAAGTTGGCGTCCCGCTCGGTGTCCGCTGGCCTCCGCGCCTGCAGAGGGCGCCGGACGCGGCCTGCTCCCCGAGCGCCGGGCTGCGCAGTCATGATCGGCGCCCCGGAGCGCCAGGACCCGGCGTGGCCTTGGGTGAGCGCGGGCCCCGAGCGGGGGGGCCGGGGGGCGCCCCAGACCCGAGGCTGCGGCCCTGGCATCCCCCACTACCACCACCTACACCTGGCCCGCAGAAGGATGCCCCGATCAGCACGCTGGTGCAGCGCATCCACCAGCTGCAGGCTGAGCGCGCACAGGCCTTCCGCCGCCTGGAGGAGTGAGTGCGGCCGGGGGGCCGGGGGGCCGGGGGCGCGCCCCAGCTGGCCGGGTAGAGCGTGGAGGGAGCTGGAGGGGCGGGCGCGCGGCCTCAGGCTCCTGCCGCCTGGAGGAGTCGGTGGGATGCGGGGACCCCCCGACCCCCGGCCCGCTAGAGCCTGCAGGGAGGTGGGCAGGGGACGTGCGGCCTCAGCCTCCCTCCCCCGCGCCGCCGCAGAGCCCACCGCCAGTACCTGCGCAGCGGCCCGCCCCCCGACTTCGCCAGCTACCGGAGCGCCGTGCACGAGGTGACCCAGGCCTTCGCCGCCGCCTCCAGGGAGGTGCTGGCCGTGGAAGCCGAGCTGGCGGGGCCCCGCGCGCAGCCGCTGCTCGCCGGCCACGTGCGCAGCCTGCAGCAGCTGGAGCAGACGCGCCTCACCTCGGTGAGCACGACCAGACAAGGGGGTGGGGGTCCCCGCTGCGCGGCGGCCTCCCAGGGGGAAGCTCGAGGCTCGCGCACGACGCCCACCCCATCCTAGCCCACTGTGCGCCATCCCCCTCCCCCTAGCACCCTCCGCCTGCGGCGTGTCACTCCCCCCGCATACCCACCTGAGGGCGGACACTCAGACCCCGTCCACGCAAAGCACCGGCCCCTCGTAGCTGCCCCTCCCTCAGGGTCACCTCTATCCCCCTCCCTCTCCCGCTCGCCCTTGACCCCACCAGGTGGCCTTGCTGCAGCTGATGGGGACACCAGAGCTGTCCGGGCCAGACGACGCAAGCCAGACGGAGCAGCTGAAAATGAAGTGAGCCTTTTGCGATTCAGACGTGCAGCTCCCCCTACCCCTCACCCCCCCCAGGCACCTGCCCCAGCCCTGTGCACCCCGGATTGGATCTGGAGGGCAGTGTAGGAAGGCCGGGCGAGCTGGCATCCCCCGGGGATGCGCTAGTCAGCGGTGCGCCCGCCAGGTGGCCCCAGCGCGCTTGCTGGGGGACCCCTTGGACACGCGCTAATTGCGCGCAAGTGAGGACAAGTTCCCCCAGGCTCCCACACACGCCTGCTACTTCCTGTCCTCAAACCCAGCCACCCCCTCCCACACACACTCAGCATCCGCCCGTCCCATTGCCTTCGCCCCCTATGCCAACCACCTACCACACCCCACCCAGCAACCTGAGGAGGAGGGCTTGGTTGCCAGCCTGCTGCCTGCCCAGGGGCACCCCTTTTTGCAACACCCAGTTACAGCTCCTTGGCACCGGGCAGGAAAGGCCCTGGGGCCCGGCACAGCCCCCCTCCTCCGCCGCTGCGCTGCTGCGCGGCTAATTCGCCCCATCTGGCTTGCATTTATAGCTCCCATCCGCTCTTGTAGGGTAATTAAAACCATGGAAGCCATCAGCGAGGTCCTCCAAGACCTCAGGTTTGATGCCGAAGCAGCCGAGTGAAGGTGGCTCCCCGGGGACAGCCGAGGGAGAGATGGGAAATGAGGAGGCCCCGTGGCGCCCGGCCTGCAGGGAGGGCCTTGACTGCCAGCCAGCTGGCCGGGGTCATGTCCGGCTGGACAGCTGACCTTGCTCCAGCCCTTCCACCTCCGTTAATAAAGGATTCTGCAGCCGTGGCACCCTGTCTGTCTTCCAGTGCTGGGGGGGGAGAGGGGGGTCCTGTGTGCCTGGGGGGAGGGAGGGGGCTGCCACAAGACTCACCCCTGCCCATCCCTCCCACTTCCCTCTCCCCACACATACAGGCAGGTCCCAAGAAGTCTGAAATTGTGAGAAGTACAAGTTCGAATCTCGGAAAGCCCTTCCCGTGCCCATGCCCACCCCTCACACCCAGGTTCCGGCTGGTCCCCCAAGGCAGGCACCTCCACAGACAGGACACCCACCAAGCTTATTTATTTAAAAAATCTTTTGGGGAAGGGGCCCTGGGGGGACTTGTTTTTCAGCTTCCCACCTCCCTCCCCGGAACCCCTGCAGGCCATTCCGGGCCACACGCACACACCCCAACTTCACACTGGGGGTGCACTCAAGGCTGTGGGCTCCCATGGCGGGGACGCAGCTCACAGCACCTGGCCCAGCTTCTGCTTCTTTCGGTGCCCTGAAGTGGGGGTGCAGAGGTGGCCCCCCGCCAGGCTTGGGGTGCCGGGGTTGTCTCCTCTGCAAAGCAGGAGGCATGGCTCTCTCCTTGGTCCCTAGAGCTTATCTGGCAAGACCTGTGAGCACAGCAAGGAAGCCACGCTCAGCGGGGCAGGGGGGTGCCCCAGCCTTGCTCCCCTCCCCTGAGAAAGGGACGGTGAATCTGGCAGCACCTCTGGCTCCAAATGCAGCCCCCAGCCCCAGCCGGGAGGGGTCCCCTCCTTACCTCTCGCCGCGCCCCGTCTGCCCGAGGACAGGACGCCCTCGTCCTGTGCTTGGAAAGAGAAGGCCGCAATGTCGTGGGGAGGAGGGCGCTGCCTCCCGCACCGCCCCACCCGACCCCCGCACGCTCCGCGGGGTCCCCCCTCCTTCCTACCTGGTTGCGGGTCTTGTGTGATTTCTGCATCCAAGCCCGCCACTGGTCGTACAGACGGAAGCTGAGGTTGGAACAGTACGCGTGCTTCTTGAGCCAGCCCAGGAACTGCTTGAGCTCCCGCCGTACCGGGCCCGAGCTCGGCTCGCCTCCCCGGGGCTCGCACGCGCCGCCGCCCGGGCCCGGCCGCTCTGCTCCCGGGTTGCAGAGAGGAGGAGGAGAAGAAAGGCCAGCGTCACGGCACGCCCGGCAGGGGGCGCGCACAGGCAGGCGAGGGAAGCAGGGGCTTGGGGGGCCCCCACCCCAATTCCCCCTGGACGCATCCTATCCCGTCCTGTGGGCCCTGCACGACAGCCCAGCTGCGCCGCTCCTGGCTCGGCTGCGCCCCTGGGGAGGCGGGAAGGAGGAAAGGGGGGCCCCCCTTCCTCTTCCACATCCCCCAAGTCCTGCGGTTTGAGCCAGGTACAAGTGGAAATGCATGGGGGGGGGGCGGGAAAGGAGGCCTTGGGGGACCAAGCCAAAGTGACCACGGAAGGCAGGGACTCAGGAGAGAGCGCCAGAGAAATACAGGCCAGGACTGGCTCCTCAGGGGAGAATCCCTCCCCACCGCCCCCCTACACACACCCCCACAACGACCCCCAGGCAGCTCGGGGAGCCTGCCCGCAGCACACAGGGGGAAGGACCAGGTGGGAGGCCGCTTGGCCCCGCCAGCCCCCAAACAGGCCGGCGGATAAGGACATCGACTTCACGTTATAAATAAAGCTGGAGACCCGCTGACAGGCCCTGGCACGGCCCCCGGCCCCCGGCTGTCCCTGCCGGCCTCAGCGGCCCCCCTCCCCAGCTGCTCCCCCCACACCCCCGGCGGACGCCTGCCTGCTGGCTCTTGTGCAAGAATCGCAGGTGCTGGGCACGAGTCGGGGCCAAGGCTCGGGCCCCTCCCGACCCCGCGTGCGCGCTCCCGGCCGGCCCAGAACCTTGCAAGGGGCCTAGGCCGGGGGCTGTGGAGCGGGCCTGGGAGCTGGGCTCCGCGCCCTTCCCTGCAGGGCTCAGGGGGCAGATCCCCTGCACCCCACAAACACTGAGAGGACCGGGGACGCGCGCCACACACACACACACACACACACACACACACCCCTGCCTGGAGCGGGCCCGTCACCATGACGGTTAACCCCTCCCACCCCAAGGGTGCTGCCCGGGCTGGGGTCAGCCCAGGGCCCGTGGGTGGCGACCCCTACACCTCGCGCTTTGCTAACTTTCCTGGAGGCGTGGGGTTTGCTGGGATGCAGACTCGCTGTTTAACGTCTCTGCAAGGCGATGGCCACTGACCCTTCCCCAAGCCCACCCTCCCCGCCCCGGGGGGCTGCTGGGCGGCGTGGGGGTGCTGACCCGTGCGCGGGGTGGAGGCGGCCGTGGGGTGACTCCACTCGCTCCAGAGCCCCGCCTTCTTGGAGCCGTAAATGCCGAAGGGGTTGCAGCGGACTTGCACGAAGTACACAGTGCCGGGTTTCAGGCCGGCCAGACGGCAGGAGGTCTGGTTACTGACGTCATCGACCACCTGGTGGGGGGCGAGGGGTCAAGGTCAAGGTGCGGTGGGGCCGCAGCCCAGCGGCGCAGGTCGGGGGGCGCCCCCCGCACCTTCCAGTCCACGCTATCTTCCACGCGGTAGCGGATCTGGTACTTGGCTTGGAAGAGGAAGTCCTTTAGGGCGGGCGGCGAGACCCAGCGCACGCTCAGCTGGTCTTCCAGCCCCCCCACGCGGCTCACGTGCACATCGGCCGGGGGGTCCGTGGTCACTGCGGGGGTGGGGCGGGGGTCGCCGTCACCTCCCCCCACCTGCGGCAGCCTGGGCCTCCCCGAATTCAAGGTATCCCCCACTTCGCCATCCCGCACACGCGTGCGCGCACACACACGGTGGAGGTGGGGTTCCTAGGGCGCGTGGCTGGCCGCCCCCACCTCCCTGGCCCCCCGACGCCACACGCACGTGGATTACACTGCTGGAATGTTCCGGAAGCACCCAATTACTGTGAGCTGTTATCAACATTATTATCTGTGACACTCAGACGCTGGGAGAGTCGCAGATACTGCCTGGCTAATGGAATTAGCGGGGGCTCCTGCCTCGCCCACAGCTGCCGACCCCTGGGACACCCCAGCCTTCCTCCAGAGCCCCTCCTCTTCCTCCTGCAACGCCCCCAGAGGGGTTCGGGGGGCCACAGAGCAGAGGAAGCAAACGCTGGGGTGGGGGTCTGGGGTGGTGGTGGTGGTGGGAGCCCAGGGAGGCCCCCTCGGCTGTGGGGCAGCACAGCTGGGCCGGCCTCTCTCACCCCCTGAGGCCTGCGGGAGGTGCTGAAAGGGTTAAAGCCCAGGCCTGCTTGGGGCTAAGAAACGCCCTAATTAGATTAAGCCTAATTCTGCCTTACTTAGTCTATTTCCTGCCTGCTGCTCTGCCTGCGTACACACACACACACACACACACACACACACACACACACACACACACACACACACACACACACACACACACACACACACACACACACACACACACACACACACACACACACACACACACACACACACACACACACACACACACACACACACACACACACACACAGAGCAGCTCCAGGCCCAGGTTTCCTGGGGGGCCTCCTCGACCTGTGGGCAACCCCCTTTGCTGCTCCCCTCCCCCTCCAGCCACCCAGCACCCCTGAAAGACCCAGGGGAGGAGGAGGAAGGTGGGCGGCTGGGTGCGGGAGCAGGCGCCTTCTGCAGAGGGCAGACAGGGACCCTAACGCCCATCCTGGGCGGGGTAGAGGCGTGGGGGAACAGCCCATGCACCAAGGGGGCGAGTGGGGGGACAGGCATTGTCTGCAGAGTGGGAGGCACTCCTGAGGGCCATCTGGGCAGTGTCTGGGGGCGCAGGGAACAGCCAATGTGCCAAGGGGGGTGGGAGCTGGCAGGGGTGGGGGCGGGCAGGGGTAGGGGCGAGCGGGCAGGGTGGGAGCGGGCAGGGGTAGGGGTGAGCGAGCAGGGTGGGGGCGGGCAGGGGTGGGGCAGGCAGGGGTGAGGGCTGGCAGGGGTGAGGGCGGGCAGGTTTGAGGGCTGGCAGGGGTAGGGGCGGGCAGGGGTGGGGGCTGGCAGGGGTGAGGGCGGCAGGGGTGGGGGCGGGCAGGGGTGGGGATGGGCAGGGGTGGGGGCTGGCAGGGGTGAGGGTGGGCAGGGGTGAGGGCTGGCAGGGGTGGGGACGGGCAGGGTGAGGGCTGGCAGGGGTAGGGGTGGGCAGGGGTGAGGGCGGGCAGGGGTGAGGGCTGGCAGGGGTGAGGGTGGGCAGGGTGGGGGCTGTCAGGGGTGAGGGCTGGCAGGGGTGAGGGTGGGCGGGGTGGGGGCTGGCAGGGGTGAGGGCGGGCAGGGGTGAGGGCGGGCAGGGGTGGGGGCGGGCCTCACCCACATCTAGAATATCTAAAGTGAGCACGTCGGAGCGGGCCGAGCCCAGGCGGTTGGTGGCTTCCACCCAGATCTCGTAGGGCGTGAAGAGGGCCAGGTCCTTGGGGATGTAACAGGAGTGGGGCCCCACCGAGTGGTAGTCCTCACACGTGTTGTCCTGGCCGTACCACCTGTGGGGGACGGCGGAGAGGCGGGCGGGGTCGGATGGCGGGGGCTCCTTCGGCCGGGACGGTCACCCTGCACCCACGGCCGCCCGCCGGGCCCCGTGGCCGCCCACCTCAGCTTGTACTTGAGCGAGTAGTTGGTGTGCAAGAATGTTTCGCCGTGGGCACCGGGCGTCCAGCGGCACGTCAAGTCTTTCATGTTCTTGGACCAGCAGCTGATGTTAAATGGTTTCTCGGGAGGCACTGGGAGGAGAGGTGAGAGGACACGGGACACAGGAGGCTGAGATGCCAGCAGGAGCTAAGGGCACAAGGGCACACGCTCCCACCAGCCACGGCCCCTGGACTTACGGCCCACGTAGAGGCAGGAGCCAGCCAGGATGCTACCGTCACGGGCGTGACACACCAGGTTGTCCCCCGACTGCTGCCTGGAGCCGTTGAGGTTGGCCAAGGCCAGGGCCAGGGTGGAGGTGTTCAGGACCCGTGAGAGCTCGGGCGGCAGGCGGCGTCCGTTGAGCGTCCAGTACAGGCCCTCGGCCGTGGCCCCCGGGGAGTCCCCGTGCACGGAGCACGTGGCCTGCAGGGAGGAGCCGATGAGCAGGGTGGGGTCCTGGGGGCTGATCACAGCTGTGTCTGGGGTCAAAAACGGAGACCCCCGATCAGGCCTTGAGGGCAAGAGGAGGGGGCTGCCCCTCGGAGCCACGCACCACCCCAGCACACACACCCCAGCAGGCCAGGCCCTGCAAGGGCCCACGGCAGCTGCAAGGAGCCCCGTGCGACACTGTCCCCATTTACACACAGGTGACAAGGGAGCCAAAGGGAGCCATCACTTCACAACACCACAACCCCATCTGAGCACTGGTTCTAATCCCGGCTGCTCCACTTCTCACCCAGCTCCCTGCCTGTGGCCTGGGAAAGCAGTGGAGGACGGCCCACAGCCTTGGGACCCTGCACCCGCGTGGGAGACCTGGAAGAAGCTCCTGGCTCCTGGCTTCAGATCAGCTCAGCAATGGCCGCTGTAGCCACTTGGGGAGTGAACCAGCCGATGGAAGATTTTTGTCTCTTGCCTTTGCGTGAAGATAAATAAATCTTCACAAGAAGCACCAGGCTAAGCCTCAGCCTGCAACTTCTCCATTGCCACTGACATTGGCTTTGACCAATCAAAGGAGCAGGTGGAGTGGGCGGGGCAGAGGCCTGACTACTTGAGGGTTTCTGAAGTCCCACTTGGTGAGGCGGGGAGGCAGCCGCCTCTGGATCCGAAGGGCTCAACGTTCCCCCTCTGTTAAATGGGTAGAGCAATCCTCTGTGTTTTTGAGGCCCCTGTACTGGGCAGGCATCGCTTCAGCTGGGTTGTGTGGTGGGCAGAGTGACCGCCTGCAGCTAGCGGCTGTCCCCCCGGCTCCTGGCCAGCGGGGCAGCAGCCCTGGGCTTCCTCGATTACAGGAGACCCGAATGTAAAAGGGAGTCCGCTTCATGAAGTGGGGCGGCAGACATACAAAGTTGCGTCGCCTCAGTTTCCCAACCTGGGAAGTGGGCGTGTGTGCGTGGGGGGGGGGGTTCATGTGCGGGAAGCTGAAGTTGGTAGTGTGGGACCTGCCAGCCAGGGCAGCCCTGGGTTCAGGCTCCCCGCCCCCCTCTTTTTCTGCTCACAAGGGAGCCCCAAGCTTCCAGGCCCTTCCACCTAAGACAGATTCATTCACTGCTCCACTCAGGCAGATGGCGTGGTGTGTGTGCGTGAGTGCAAAGATCCTGGGGCAGAAAAGGTGAAACGGGGGGGGGGGGGAGGCGAGATCGCAGAGCCACCCTGGGAGGGGGTCAGGGTCAGGATTAGATTTGCTTTGCTTTGCAGAAGGACTCCCCAGGCGGTCGGTCGTCAGAGGGGCCTTCAGGGAGTCAGCCAAGGACAGGGTGATCCAAGCCGTCCCCCCCCCCCGCCCCGGGAAAGGGGGGAGCCTGCTTCCTCTCCCCCCATCTCCCCCCGCCAGTGCCAGCGGCCAGGCCAGCCGCCCTCCTCTGACCCTCCCTGCCCCGGACTGGGGAGGCTGGGGGTGGGGCGGGGCAGGGTGGGGTGGACACGGGTTTTTTGGGCCGGCCCTTGACGATTTTCCGGGGCAAGTTTGGCTGGAGGGCCGGTGTCCTCTTGGAGCCTGGGAGCGGAGCTGCATTTGGGGGTTGGCCCAGGGCTGGCTGGAGGTCTCGGCCTCCGTGCGAAGGAGCCGGAGGGCGGGCAGAGCAGCCAGAGCCCAGGAGGGCGGGGGCAGCCCGGGAGCGGGGTGGGGTGCGGTGGGAGGGTGCAGGGGGTGGGGAGACGAGGCCAAGGGGGGCCGCCCTGGAGGTCTCAGGCAGCCAGCCGCCCGCTCATTTGAAATTCCTTTGGCATGAACCGGGGCGTGCCAGTCTTTGCCCTGGCCCACCCACTGCTGTTCCTCCCTGGGCGTCCCCCCCACACACACACCCTCACCAGGCCTGCCCGGACCCCAGGCACATATTCCCTCAACTCTCCCAGGATGGGTCACGCCCCTCGGCTGCCAAGGAGGTCGGAGAGGATGAGGGGCTGTCCCTCTTCCTCACAGACTGGTAGAGACACAGCGAGACACTGCCCCACAACTTCTGCCACACCCGACCCGGCCCGGCCCAGCCCGGCCTGGGCTGGCACGGTCCCACTTTGCCGGCAGCTGCAGCTGCCCTGGCAGGGCTGAGCAGGGGCCGGGGGTGGTGGAGGGGAGGGGTGGGTGGGTGGAAGGAGCGGCAAGGCCAGGCGGGCCTGGACAGGCCAGCCACCCACACACACACACCCCACACGCCCCCGTCAGCTGCAGAGAGGTCAGGTGTGCCTCCTCTCCTGCTGTTACAATCCCAATAGCTGAGTCCTCCCCAAAGAGGGACCACCTTTGTACCTGCTGGAGAGGGCGGGTGCAGGAAGTGACATGGATAAGTTCGGGGGGGGAGGGGGAGGCGGTAGGGACTGGGCAGTCCCTCCCAAGTCTGGGGTTCTCTGCCCCCACCCCACCTTGCCACCCCAGGGGAAACAACAGGCCCAGCACAGCGGTGTGCACGCCCTGCGTGTTGGGGGGTAGGAGACAGGGCCCCAGGCTCTCCCTCGGGGCCAGGTGGAGCAGCAGCCGCTGGGAAGCCTTGGGGTTCAGAGTACCCCCCCAGTACCCTCTGACTCTCCATTCACCTCCCCACCACCACCCAGCTTTTCTTCCCACGGAGCCCAGGCCTTTAAAATTTTATTTCTTTTCCGTCTTTGCCAATCCCCAGCCACAGCCTTTATGAAAAAAAAAAAAAAAAAGGCAACACCATGTGTTTTAAAAGGGAAAAGTGTGAGATTCCCTGCGGGCAGGGCGGGGCTGGGAGGGTGGGGAAGGGGAGCCTGCATCCCTGGGGTCTCCACGGGGGGGCCCCCCATCTCCTGCCCCACCCGCCTGCAGACACCTTACAGAGCCACTCAGGTGCTAAGACACATGTAAGTGGAAACAGATTGCCTAAGTGTGAGAATCTTTTATTTGATTTCACTTTCCTTAAAGGAAAGCAGCCAGGCTTTGCCCACTTTCACGGGGGCGGGGGGCTGCCCTAACCCAGGTTACTGGAACAAAGGTTATAAGCCAAGGGGGGGGGGCGCTTGGGGTGTGCCAGGGACCCCCTCCTTCCCTCAGGGAAAACCCCCTTAAATCAAGAGCTCAGCCTCTCCCCAGCCCAAGGGTCTCAGACCAGCTGGACTTCCCCAGCGATGGGCTCCCGCCCCCCTCCCCAGCATTTTGACTTTCCTGGGCCAAGTTGGCTGTGCCCAGCCGCTGCCTGCTCGCGGGTCCAGGCTAAGGCTGCGTGTGTGTGTGCGCGTATGTGCGTGTGCGCCCCCGCCGGGGGTCTCCTCCCTTTGCAGAATGAGCGTGTGACCACGGATGTGTGTGTGTGTGTGTGTGTGTGTGTGTGTGTGTGTGTGTTGGGGCTGGAATGTGTGTGCGCGCCCGCCATGGTGTGCGAACGCTCATCTGGGCCGCAGTGCGCGCGCGTCGGAGGGCGAGGGTGATGGGCCACAAGCCAGTGTGTGCCTTTGTGTGTGTGTATGTGTGTGTGTCCCCGAATGGAGAGACCAAATCTCCAGGCCGGGGAGGGGGCTGTGTGTGTCTGTTTGTGTGCTGCGGGCAGGGGGCCCAAGAGGGCTGGAGTTTCCCTGAAAAGCCAAGGGCTTCCCTCCCAGTTCCCCCTCCACTGCCCCCTGCCAGGAGCCTCCGCACAAAACGTCCCGGGCCCGTGATGCCCCCTCGAATACACGGGCTGCGGCTCCTTCTCACTCGCTCACAAAGATTTCTCTCTCGCTCGGGACTCTCTTAGCGCGGGCGCACCGTGGCCCAGGGACGGTTCTGAGAGGAGCCGATGATGGCGGGGACTCTCCGTGCGCGGGGGTCCCGCGGTAGGGAGAAGGGGAGGGCGACGGCGGCGGCGCCGGCCCGCGGAGAGGCACGTCCCCGGGGACCCCGGGCCGCGCGCCAGGCGGCCAGAGAGGGCCCCCAGCCGCTCCGCCCTCCCCGCGGGGCTCATCCCTCCGCCCGGGAGGAGGAGGTGGGGGGGCCCCCACTTGGGGCCCGCACCCTGCGCGTCACCAACCGCGTGCGCCCCCCGCCAGGAAGCAGAGACCCGCGCGGCCCGGTGGCTCCGCGGACGCGAACCCGTGCGCCTGCTGCGTCCCGGTGTGCAGAGGGGTTCCCCGGCCGCGGTGCCTAGACCCTCCCCCGCCCCTCCCTGAGGGCCTGGCCGGGCGCCCCAGGCCGGAACGGCCCAGGTGGAAAGGGTATGGGGGGGTGGAAGCTGGAGACCCCACTTCCCGAGAGTGGGGAAACTGTGGCACAGCGCGTCCCACAGGTGAGGGCGCCCCGGGCGCGGCCCTCGGGGCGCCTTCCTTTGTTCCCGGGGCCGTCCAGGTGGCGCCTACGCCCCCTCTCTATACCCCCCTCCGCCCCGCTGCTGTCCCCCAGGGCGCCCGCCCTTGGTTCGGGTGGGAGCCGAAGCGGGATGGGTGGGAGCGGGGCGCAGGGTTACTCACGGGCTCCGGATCCGGCTCGCGGCGCCCCGAGGACGCAAAGTAACAGTAGGGGCAGCAGCAGCAGCGGCGGCGGCCGCCGCGCGGATTGGGCGGCGGGGCCCGGGCGGCCGGCGGGCATGGGGCCGGCGCTGCCGGGAGTGGGGGCGCGCGGCGGGCGGCAAGGGCGAGAGGCCACGGAGGGCGGCCGCGCGGGGCGCGGGAGGGTGCGGGAGGGCGCGGGGCCGGGTCGCCCCGTACGTCGCTGGGCACGGACGCGGAGGCCGCAGCAAGTCTGAGCAGCCGAATTGACAAGGCGCTAATGCGCCGCTGGCCCCGCCCGGCCCCGCCCCCGGCCCGGCCCCGGGGTGGGGGGGACGACGGGCCCCCGCACCGGCCTCCCCACCGCCCGCGGGCACCGCGCGCCCCGCCCGTCCGGCCTCCGCCCCGCGCGCCAACTGCGCGCGCCCTGAGCCCCTTACCCGGCCCGGGGAGGTCTCTCTCCAACTCTGCCAGCTCCAGGCACCCCACCCCCAATCCAGGACCGGGCGCCCCCCATCCCGTGCGCCACCCTCTTTCCTAGCAGCCAGTCTCAACCAGCACCCTTCCGTGTCCCTTGCGGGCCCCCAACCCTGCCGGGCTCCTCCCTGTCCCCACCCCACTCCCTATACCCCCGCAATCCTCCATCTGGGCCCCCCACCCCAGCGGTGGCTCCGCCCCCATACCCCCACCGAGCGGTCCCTGAACCCCGCCTCCCCCACCCCCTCTACCTCCAGCCCCGCTTCCTTCCCCAGGGGCCTGAAAAGTCGCTCCCAGCCGCACAGCCTCGGCTGCGCGCGGGTCCCACCGGCCTTGGCCCTCCCACTTCATCCCGCCTCTGGCTCGGGGTTCCGCACTCAGCCTCGCCGGCCCGGGGCTCCTCCGCCGCAAGGAAAGGAGAAGGAGAGGCAGGACAAAGTACCAACTCTGCGCTCGCCCCGGGCCCAGCCGCCGTGCCCTCGCGCGCAATGGTTTGGGGGTTGCGCTGCCGAGTCTAGGTTGGGGGAGAGGTGGGGGAATGGGTGGGGGGGACAGGGTTCCGCATCCCGGGAGGAGTGCCGTGTCCCCCCACAACCCGTCCCCGGGAGTGGGAGACGGCTCCTGCATGCCCTTCCCCACGGAAAAATCCACTCAGCGGCCCCGCGGGTGGGGTGCGCCACGCGCTGAGTAATCGTTCCGACGGCCGCCGCCCGCAAGCTCCAGGTAGAACCGCCTGCTCAGAGCGACGCTCCATTTGGTCTTTTTTTTTTTCCCTTTTGCGCGCAAAGATTTTTTTCCGTGTTATTAATTTTGGCCTCTGCTCAGGGCTTCGGGACCCCTACCGGTCCGGGGGCTTCCTGATGGAGTTTCCCCCCGCCTTCCCCTCTCTGCCCTGACCCAATTTGGGCGCCTAGGAACTGAAAAAAAGTGGGTTTTTTTTGAGGGTTTGGGAGGTCACCAGGATGCGAGCAGCGTCGGTATTGCGGGAAGCCGGTGGCGCGGGGTAACCCCCGCATCGGCTGCGCCCGTGCTGCCCGCCCTTCGCTGGTGTTGTCCTAAAGACCCCGGAGATACTGGGAGAGATAGGAGGGCGGTCAGTTAGGGACCCAGGGCGGCTTGGGCGGCGTCTGCACCGGGTCTCCTCCCATCTGTCCTCTCTCGTGCACTTAGATCCAATGCTCAAATTCCAGGGGGAAAAATGCACTAGAGCTGGGGGTGGAGTGGGAGAGGACTGCACCGGGTGGGGGCGGGGGTGGGACTTAAGCCAAAGGCGCCCTGGGGTTTAGAGGACATCTCGGAGGGGGCCCAGTTCCCCTTTTTAACGCATTACTTGGTTCCCAGGCAGCTGAAAGGTGGCAAGCCTGTCACCCAAGGGCGCCACCCAGCGCAGCGTTCCTGGCCTGGAGTGTGTGTGTGTGTGTGGGGGGGTGGATGGAGGTGTTAAAGAACGCTGCCACCTGCCAGGCTTGGAATTGGGGGGGGGGTGTTCCTTGTCTCTCCACCCAGCCCTGAAGGGTAGAGAGGTGGAGAGATGTCTGCCCCCACCCCCAGCTCCCCTGCTGCCCCACTCTGCTCTTCACCCAGCCCCCAGGGTGGCCCAGGAGGAAGGGGACGCCCTCCCCCTCACCCTCCATCCATCCAGGTGCGCGCTCGGGCCAACGACCTGGAAACAGGCGGGTGGGCCAACTCTCTTTCCTTCTTTCTCCCTCTTCCCCCGCCTCCAATCCATCAGAGGAGCTTGCTGGCTGGGGTTCCAAAAGGCAGCTAACTCCATGCCGATCCCTCCTCCCCACCTCATCCGGGTCCAGGCCCCACCAGTCCCCCCCAAGGATGCTGCCTGGGCCTCCCTTCCTCCCCAGCCCCTCCGCCCCACCAAGAACCCCTTTGTCCCAGTAGTAGCTTCTGAAAGAAGCCAAGCAGATCTTTCCTGCACACTCCCTCGACCACCCTCTCCTCTTACCCCGCCTGGAACACAGCAGAAAGTGTCCAGGCAGAAACACCAGCAGGGAGCCATTGGCTGCTCACCCCCCTCCTCTATGCCTGGAGGTCCCACCCGTCCCCCTCAGCCCCTTTCCACCGCGCCCCAACTCACCCTGCCCAGGTAGACACCGGCCGCCAAGCCTCGCATCCTGGGAGTGGCCTTTTACTGTCCCGGTCACACGTAGCTCTGGTCTCACTTCCTTTTTTGGGACTCCACTCCCCGGCCATGGAGAAGAATCCAACAGATATTTGCAAAAACCAAAAAGATGGAGGATTATCCACTGCCAATGTGTACCAGCAAAAGACGTTCACTGCTGGCTCTGGGTAGCCAAAGGCTGGCCCAGTGTCCCTGTCCGCCTCCCAACCCCAGATCCCCAAACACCCTAGTTTGCTGGGGGACCCAGGCCCACCCTCTCCCATCCTCCCCTGCTAAGAAACTTTGTGGACTAGTAATCCCTGGTGGCCATTCCCATGCCATATGACCTCTGCCCTCTGTGTAACTATTACCCCCAACCTTTGACCTTAAGTTTGGGGAGCAGCAGGCGCCCACGCGTACCTCTCGAAGTGCACCTGAGGTCTCTTAGCAGCTTAACCCCTTCCCCCCCAGGCCCGCTTGGCACCAGCTCAGGCGTCCCTACAACTTTGGCTAATATTGACAGAAGTGCTTGATGCCAGATGGGAATGTCTCAAGGGGAGGCAGATGGAGAGAAGAGGGGGCGGCAGCACTAAAGAGGCCAGGATCAGGTTGGGGTGCCCTCCAGCTCCCTGGAACAGCACCTCTGTGGGTCCTATGGGCGTGGGGACCCGGAGCCAGGGAGGGGCTGTCTCCTTGGGATACCCCTGGGGGTCCCCTGCGAAGCTGGCGGTCTCAGGGTTTAAAGGGATTCTGTGGTTAGAACCACCTTGGAGGATGAACGGGCAAACGGGGGTGCTTGGGTCTTCCTTCAGGGAGCTGGCAATTGCAGGCTCTGGAGGCAGGACTGGGCGTGGTGGGCAGGGCGGCCCATGGGTGCACCCTGGCCTCCTGCATCCTGAAACCTTGGGTGGGGGTCAGCCATCAGGCTGACTCCGTCCAGCCCAGTTGCCCGCACTGGCGCCAGGCGTCCTAACCTCCTCGCCGGCATGAACCCAGCTTGGGAGTTGGGGGGTCAGCAGGGTCGCGGTGAGGGCGGTCGGGCACAAAGGGCATTTGTCCGTGGCCCGCCGCTTCCCGGACGCCACCCGCCAGCCGCGCCGCTGATTCACGCCCAGGGCCCCACCCCACTCCTCCACCCCCGGCCCCGCCGGGCCGCCCCGGGGGGTAGGAAGTGGAGATGGGGGGGGGAGAGACCGAGACGAGGGGCGGCGCCGAGTCAACTTTCCCTCTTAAGCCCCGGAGGAATGTCGGCGGATTTCCTGAAACCCGACCCCTGCCGCCCGCCGGCCCGCCCGCCCTTCACCTGGACCGACTCCCTCGGGAGCAGCCCAGGAGGGGTGCGGGGGCTCACCTGGGGGGCCGGGGTCAAGTCCTCCTTCCGCTGCCCCCTCCCCCTTCCCCAGTGGCCTCGGGAAGCGGAAAGGAGGAGGGTGGATGGAGATCGCTTCTCTCCCTGCCCAACTCCTGCAGCCTGTTCCCCTTTGGTGTGGAAGGGCGCGGGGCTGTTGCGCTCTCCCTGGAGACCCCGGGCGCACGTCCTCGGCCTCCAAGTCCTTGCCTAGGGACAGGGCGGTGACCCCCGCCCAGTGCCCATGCTGGAAATTTGTGGCACTCACACTCGTGTCTCTGAAGCATTTGGCACGCCTGGAGGACAGTTAGTGGCTGGGCAGGGGGTGAGTGAGCGCGCGGGTCCGGAAAGAGGGTACGGCTGCATGTGGGCTTGCGTCCGGGGCTCTGGGTAGGAGTTCCCAAGCCTGCGCCCTCTCCCTCGCCACACACACACACACACGGGTCCCCACGCGTGGGATGCTTCCCAGGCCACGTGGCCTGTTGCGCGCGCATGGCTGACTGATGGACGCGCGGCGGGCCGTGGGTTGTGGGGTGTCCCTCCCCCATCCCCGAGCTGGCTGGATTCTTCCCGCAAACTTCGCGCCGCCGCCGCTGGATCGCCGCGCAGCTTCCAGGCCGGCCTGGGAGGGGCGGAGGAGGGGGCCGCGCCGGGATCCAGATGTTCAGGGTCCGCCAGGCACAGCCGCGCCTGATTAAGCCACGTGGGGGCCGGCCCTGGGCCGCGGAGATGAAAGCGCGGCGGCGGCCGGCCAGGGGGAAAGGGGGCGCGTCGGGCCCCCCTCTCCCCGCCCGGCGACCCCCTCCTCCTCCCGGGCCGGAACCTGCGGCGCCCTCTGACCTGCCGACCCCTCCAGGTTGCCGTTCCGTCTGCGGGGGAGGAGCGCCGCGAGGGCGGCGGTAACGGCCTCCTCAGGCACCTGCGCTAGACACGCAGGCGACCTCCGTGTGCGCCGGGTCTGGGTCCCCTACGGACTCAGGAGAGGCTGGGGAGGAGTGGGGGACACCCCCTTAGCCAGAGCTCCGGCTTTCTCGGGGTTCCAAGCTGTCCCCCTGGGGCGTGGCAGGTAACGGGAACTTGGTTCTTGGTCGCTTTCAATATTCCCACGATACTCGATGTCTCTAACCTCCTTGTGCGCCCCGGGTCCTCTCTCTCCTCTGAGCCCCGGGGATCCCAGATCTGCGGTGTTGAGGTGGCGGGGAGGGGGTGAGAGTGCCAGAACCCCTCAGGTATGCGCACGAGAGAGAAGTGGGGTAACAGGTGGCCGGGTGGGGTGGAGGGTAAGCCCCCCCCCCCGAGGGCTTCCCGTAAGAAGCCGACTGCGCGCAAGCCACGGCCACTTTTGACCCAAGGGAGATGCCAGGCCTTGGCCAACATCTCCTCTTCCCTTGCACCTGGCCAGGGGGCGGGGGGTGCCTGGTCATCCCTGGAGAACAGACGTGACCCTCTCCCTTTGCTCCGCACCTCCCACCCCCAGGCAGTCCTGGCATTCCGTTGGATTTCCTTGGCATCCCAGCGTGGGTGGCAGGGAGGCGCCCCGCGGACCCCCGAGCTCCACGCGCCCCGCCCCACGGCGTCCGTGCCGCAGCGCCGCCCCCCGCACCCCCTTCCCAGTCTGCCTCGCTCAGGTGACGTCAGCGCCCGGTCCCCCCTCGCCATCGCCGCAGCATCCTCACCGCCGGCCGGCCCCCGGAGCTGTCCGAGTCGCGGCCCGGGCCCCGGGGATGGCGGTGGCCGTGCTGCTGCTGCTGGCAGCTCTGCTCCTGCCATGGCCGCCTGCAGCCTCGGCCGCGCAGCCCGGCGACGCGCAGAGCTGCCAGCAGCGCTGTCGCCAGCGCGACCACCCCGGCCCGCGGCCTTCGCAGGTGAGGGGGCTCGAGGGGCAGGCTGCTGGGGGAGGACACGGGCCGGGTAACCCCTCGGGAGGGAAGCGGGGAGAGGGCCGCCGGCGGGGGAGGGGCGGATGGTCCGCGCCCTGGGAGAGGGGATGGTGCATGGAGGGGTCCGGGCTATTCGTATAGTGTATGTGTGTGTGTGATGGGGGGGACCCTACCGAGGCTGGGCTGGCATTTCGGCTCGCGATGGCATCTTGGGGGTGCCCTCTTCCTTTCCCGGCGCTGCCCAGCCCCCACCACTGAACTCCGCGCACCTGGCTCCCAATATCGCCATCTTTGAGCATCGCTTCCCTAGGCCTGACCCAAAGAGGGCCCAGCCCTGCTTTTAAAGAGAGCCCCTACGTGGGGCCATTTGGCTCCCCCCCCCCCACGCCTCCCCAGCCACGTCCACTCCTCCCGCCTCCTGGGGGAACTAGGGACCCCCACCCTTACACCCAAGGGGCGAGCAGTCACCCCACCCATAGGTAGTCCCGTCTCCCTCCTCCTCCTGTCACCCCTTCCGCTTTTGCCTGAGCCCCGTGTCCGCACCTCCCCAACCCCAGGCGGGGCTCCCCTCGGAGTCCCCGTGCGACAAGGCTGTCCTGGTGAGCGCCTGCGAACGAGGCTGTCGGCTCTTCTCCATCTGCCGCTTCGTGGCCCGGAGCTCCAAGCCCAATGCGACCCTGCTGGAGTGTGAGGCAGGTGAGGATGCGAGCACAGATGGGGAGAGGTTGGAGAGGGGAAGGGGGCCGCACCTGCGTCGCTGCCCGACCGCCCATGCCCTCCTCCCCTCCTCCCCTCCTCCCCTCCTCCCCTCCTCCACTCCTCCACTCCCCTCCCTCCACTCCCCTCCTTAGCCTGCACGGAAGCCTACGTGAAGAACGCAGAGCGGCAGGCCTGCAAGGAAGGTTGCCGGGGCCAGCCCATGGAGCCCGAGGCTGGATCCCTGCTGGAGAAGAAGGTGGGTGCCTCCCTCTGCCCCTTCCCGTCCTGAGTCTTTTGCTGGGGCGTGCTGGGCACCATGTCTCCCCCCACACGCGCACACACACACCTGCCCCATTGCACCTGCAGCTGTCACACTGGCCAAGAGACAGGAAGCTGCTCTCCCTTGTCTTGGAGGATGCTGGGAGCAGCCGGCCTGAGTCGCTTGCCCTGCGGCATCCGCTAGGCAGCCACAGTCACCTGGAGGGCCTGGGTGCTCAGGTTCAGGAAGGGCTTTGAGCCAAGGGCCCCAGCAGGGAAACTGAGGCCTGGAAAGTTCCAGCCAACCATTACCGGGCTGGGATGTCATTTTCCCCACTTCACTCTGCCTGTGGTGCCAGCATCCCATATGGGTGCTGGTTCGAGTCCCGGCTGCTCCACTTCCCATCCAGCTCCCTGCCTGTGGCCTGGGAAAGCAGTGGAGGACGGCCCACAGCCTTGGGACCCTGCACCTGCGTGGGAGACCCGAAAGAAGCTCCTGGTTCCTGGCTCCTGATTTGGGTCAACCTCAGCCATTGTAGCCATTTGGGGAATAAACAGAGATAGTGCCCTAAGGACACGCAGCTAACCCAGTGCAGCCCCAGGGTGTGTGTGTGTGTGTGTGTGTGTGTGTGTGTGTGTGTCTTTTGGGAAGCCATGTTATGTCCAAGCCCATCAGATCACTTCCAAATTCCCGAATTCTCCCCTCCTGTCCCCATCAGAGACAGGTCCTGGAGGCCCCCAGTGGAGCCCTCTCCCTCTTCGACCTGTTCTCCACGCTCTGCAATGATTTTATGAACTCGGCTCAAGGCTTTGTCTCTTCCACGTGGACTTACTATCTACAGACAGACCATGGGAAGGTGGTGCTGTTCCAGGTGAGACCCCCCAGAGGCTGGCTGGCTCCGGAGGTGGGAGTGAGAGCGGCATGCGTCGGCTCTCGGCTCCTGCGAGACCACGTGCACAGCTGTGGAAGTCTCAGGCACAGCTGGATCCAGTGCCCCGCCAGTCACCAAGCTCTGATTCTGTCGATTGGGTCTATAACCGAAAGAGACTCCCCTGGCTGCTTGGGGAGTCAGGATGGAAGCAGCGCAGTGTGGGAGTTGGGGCCCTCCTGCTCTGTTCCCAGGGGGAGGTGGGTGACCGTGGGTGTGGGGCACCGTGTCCCAGCTGGGATGCAGAGAAGTTCCTGCCAGGGCTTGAGGGACTAGGGGGTAGCCCCTGAGTGATCGGCACCTTGCCATCTTGTTCCTGGCTCAGACGCAGCCTGTGGTGGAGAACTTGGGCTTCCAGGGCAGCCGCTTGCAACGAGTAGAGGTGACCTGGAGGGGGTCCCACCCTGATGCCTTGGAGGTGCACATGGGTAAGATCCACTCAGGGCCTCACTGCTACAAAGAACAACTCCTCCTGGCAAGCTCCTCTCCTCCTGAGAGCTCCACCACCCCAGTCCTGGGTTCCTTGGCCCATCTCCCAGGGTTCCACAGGGCATCTCCCAGGGTTCCACGGGCCATCCCCCAGGGTTCCACAGGGCATCTCCCAGGGTTCCACAGGGCATCTCCCAGGGTTCCACAGGGCATCTCCCAGGGTTCCACAGGCAATCCCCCAGGGTTCCACGGGCCATCCCCCAGGGTTCCACGAGCCATCTCCCAGGGTTCCACAGGGCATCTCCTAGGGTTCCACAGGGCATCTCCCAGGGTTCCACAGGGCATCTCCCAGGGTTCCACAGGCCATCTCCCAGGGTTCCACGGGCCATCTCCCAGGGTTCCACAGGGCATCTCCCAGGGTTCCACGGGCCATCTCCCAGGGTTCCACGGGCCATCTCCCAGGGTTCCACGGGCCATCTCCCAGGGTTCCACGGGCCATCTCCCAGGGTTCCACGGGCCATCTCCCAGGGTTCCACGGGCCATCCCCCAGGGTTCCACGGGCCATCCCCCAGGGTTCCACGGGCCATCTCCCAGGGTTCCACAGGCCATCTCCCAGGGTTCCACAGAGCATCTCCCAGGGTTCCACCGGCCACCTCCCACGATTGCATGCTCCCCTAGCCCTGCCCCAGTCCTGGCTTCCGTTCTCTTCTCCTTGGCTACCATGATTTTAATGACCCTCAGCTGCCGAGAAACACCCCATCCACCACCACCTCACTATCTCCCAGACCCCGTAGGCCCCTTGGACAAGGTGAGGAAGGCCAAGATTCGCGTCAAGACCAGTTCCAAGGCCAGGGTGGAGGCTGAGGAGCCACAGGACAACGACTTTCTGAGCTGCATGTCCCGGTGGGTGACAGGCCCTTGGAGGTGGGACAGGGCAGAGGGGTAAGTACTCTGTCCCTCCCTGACCAGGCCTGCCTACCGGTTGGGGTGTGGCAGGCGCTCGGGGCTGCCTCGCTGGATCCTCGCCTGCTGCCTCTCCTTGTCCGTGTTGGTCATGCTGTGGCTAAGCTGCTCCAGCCTGGTCACGGCGCCAGGCCAGCACCTCAAGTTCCAGGTAGGTGGGCAGAGGAGGGACAGGGTGGCAGAGGGCAACGTCTCCTCGTCCTGGCTTCCATGGGCACAAGGATCTTAGAGCTGCTGCATGAAACGGGAGATGGGGGCGGGCAGCAAGGTGAGAGGTCCTCCCTGCCCCCTTCCTTCCTTTCCTGCAGCCCCTGACCTTGGAACAGCACAAGGGCTTCGTGGTGCAACCAGACTGGCCCCTGTATCCTCCCCCCACACACGCCTATGAGGGCAGCCCCCCGCCCTACAAGCTCAAGTTGGACCTGACCAAGCTGTAGCATGGCCCAGGGCAGAGGTCCTGTCCACCTGCACCTGCCATTGGGGTGGGACTACTCTTGAGCCGTCCTACCCCTAAACCTTCTCTCCCTACCCTCACCAGGCCCCCCACCTCCCCTCCCAGCCTAGAGACAAGAGGCCCCAGCTGGGGGCAGGTGGGGAGCGGGGCAGGGTCCAACCTTGTCCCAGTGACCACCCCCTCCCCCGATCGCCCACCAGAACATGTGTGATGTTTTGTTTTGTTTTGTCGGCTGTTCCGTGGCTTTTTGGATATTTGAGCCCTAGTCCTGTGTTGCTTTTTCTTCCCTCTCCTCTCTCTGGGAGGGACGTGAGTTTGCGGGGAGTGGGGGCACACCTCCACCTGGGGCTTGCCTCTTCATCCCTTCCCCTCTCTCGCTCTCTCATTTTTCCCCTGGAAGCTCAACTCCCCAAAGAGGGGAGAGGCGGGCGGCCAGGGCTGGAGGTGTCATGGGGGGCGGGAGTGGGAAAGAATAAACGATGCGTACAAATGAGGTTCTCTGTCTGCCCTGGTCTCTGTCTACAATGTATCGGAAACAGAGCAACAGAGGCAGCTTCCATCCCCTGGTTCACTCCCCAAGTGGCCAGGAGCCAGGGGCTTCTTCCATGTCCCCCACGCAGGTGCAGAGTCCCAAGACTTTCCCAAGCCACAGGCAGAGAGCTGGATGGGAAGTGGGGGCAGCTGGGACATGAACTGGCACCCGTATGGGATCCCGGCACCTGACACGGAAGGACTAGCCAATTGAGCCATTGTGTCAGACCCTCACTCCCCCTTCTGTATGGGACGGAGCACGCCCCCCGGCCGGGAGCATCAGGGCTTGATCAAGCCACAGATCCTCTCACCCACCCTTGCCTGTGGGAAGCAGATGTTGAACTTGGCTCTCCTGGCAGCCACGTGTGCTAGGATTGCCCTGGGTGCTTGTAGAACCTCCTCGTCTGGGAGAGACTCAGCTGAGGTTTGTGACAACCTGAGGTAACAGGTGCCGGTCCCTCCAGCACCCCTCACCCTCGCGCAGCCCACGGATGGCAGGTTAGTGAGAAGTGTGGGGGGCAGGCAGCTGAAGGTGGCTCCCCACACCCCTCTCCCATGTCCCAGGATGCACTCGGCTCCCCTACCTCTCCTGACACCAGATGGCAGGGGTGGGGGAGGGGAGTCAAGGCTTTTTCCAGGGTCCCCACAGCCGGCCTCCCCCAGCTGAGGCCACAGCTGCCCCCGCCAGAGCCACTCTCCACTTCTCCCACTCTGAGCCCCCTACCCCGCCAGCGTGGCCCACCCCCATTCGTTCCCCTGGCCCCGCCCACTCTGGTTCTTTTTAATGAAATGCTGTGGGTTTTTTTTTCCCCCCACTTTCTTTGAAACATAAAGGGACAGTAAGAAACAGACTCCAGAGAGATTCAAGCTCCTCCCTTGCTCACCCGGTGGCTGACTTAGCCGGGGCACAGCCAGCGGAAGCGCTCCCTTGGGGTGTCCCACACGAGCGGGAGGCAGCCAAGGCTGCTGCCTCGTCAGGCAGAGCAGCCACGACTCAACCCAGACGCTCAGCTACGGGTTACGGCGTTCCAAGAAGCAACTTAAGCATATACTTATTTTTTTTAATTATTTTAAAATGCAGAGTGATAGAAAAAAGAGAGATCTTCTATTCGCTGGTTCCACGCCTAGCCGGCTGCCACGATGGCCAGACAAGCCGGGAGCTAGGGGCTTCATCTGGATTTTCTGCGTGCTTGCTGGAGACCCAAGCACTTGGGCCATCTTCTGCTGACTTCCCAGGCACCTCAGCAGGGAGCTGGATTGGAAATAGAGCACCTGGGATTTGAGCTGGCGCTCTTTTGGGACCGGCACCTCAGTCGATGGCTTAACTAACTACACCACAACTTCCGTCCCAACATGAGCTATTGTAAATAATCTAGAAATCATCAAAAGATAGGAGAGAGAGGCAGCTCTTCTCTTCCTCTCAAAGAAAAATAGATGCAGGTAAAATGGCTGAGATGCGTGCCACCCCTCTTGGAGTACCCTGGTCGCTCAGGCGCCCTATGTCCCGATGCTGTGTGTCCTGGGAGTAGCAGGTGGTCCACACGACCCAGGACAGCGGGATTGAGCTCCCGACCGACTCCAGGGTCTGATGCTGGCTCTAGCTCAGGCCTGGCCATGGCAGTGCACCTGCTGCTTGGCAGACTCTGTTTTGCATAGCTTCCCCCGTTCCCTGCCCACCCCCACCTCACATACACACACGCTTGCCGGAAGGCGTTGGGAGGAGGCGCGTGGGCGCCAGGCAAATGCGACACTGTTTGGTACAAGAGGCTGGCGCTCCGAAAACCAAGTGCCCTTTGGATGAAGTTCAAGGTACGCCTACAGGCTTCGCAGAGAACCTGCCGTCCTTGCTGGTTTCTAAGGGGGCCTGGCTCTGTCCCCGCCTCCCTCCACGGCTCCCCATGGTCTCCGTCCTCATCCCCCTCTCTCTCCATCTGCATCCCTGCACCGCCCGCCCGCCTGCCCGTGCGCACGCATCGCCATGGCAACTGCCGAAGGTCCAAGCTGCCCCTGCTTCCTCACCCACCTCCTCCCAGGGCCCCCGCCCCTCGCGTTTCCCCTCTAACTTCCCTCTGGGTTCCAAACCCCGCTCCTTCTGGGTACCACCCGCTCTGGGGGGTTCCAGACTTAACCAGTAGGCTCCGCCCACAGTGGCACCTGTAGGATTTCCTTCAACCTCAGGGCTTTGGGACTTGGAGGAGACTCAGGCGGCATTGCCCACTCTGCCCTGCTCTGCCCCAATTCTCCAAGGAGTTCCCAGCCTGGCTAACGGTCCCAAACCCCGGCTCCTACCGCTCTTGTTAGAATGAATGATGTGTGTTTCGTCACTGCCTTCCTTTATATGAGGATCTTGACTTTGTTGATTTGAGAGGCAAAAAAAAAAAAAAGGATATGCATTTTTCAGATGTATTTATTTTTATTGGAAGGCAGATATACAAAAACAAGGAGAGACAGAGAGGAAGATCTTCTGTCCGATGATTCACTCCCCAAGCAGCCGCAACAGACAGAGCAGACCTGATCCTAAGCCAGGAACCAGGAGCTTCTTCCAGGTCTCCCATGCGGGTGCAGGGTCCCCAGGCTGTGGGCCGTCCTCCACTGCTTTCCCAGGCCACAGGCAGGGAGCTGGGTGGGAAGTGGAGCAGCCAGGATTAGAAATGGCACCCATATGGGATCCCAGCATCCAGTAGCCCACCTGGCCCCCCGCCATCCCTAGCACCTGCCCCTTGCCCTTCCCACCTGCAGCTGCACCTGGCTACACCCCTCAAGGTGTTTGCACGGCTGTGCACTCAGCCAGGGACACGCCTTCCTGGGCCTGTCTGGCGTTGCTCCCTGACTCCTTTGCCACCTGGGCACGGGCCAAGTCGCCTCCTCATCCCCCTGCCCCTGGCAGCTGACTGACTCTGATCTCCTGCTGTCCTCCCAACCGCCCCCCCAACTCCTCCATAGTGCCCATTTCTCCCATGTTGCACACAAACCTGGCCCTGGTGGGGATGGCTGGCTGACCACTATCAGATCAAACATGTCTGGGTTACCATGACAACCAGTTGCCCAGGTTCAACGGGGTCCCTACCCCACCCACCCTTCACGGGGTCCAGCACGGGCAGAGGCCAAGGTCAGAGACTGCCAACAGAAACACTTGCTGGGGCGAGTGGTGGCTGCCTGTTGGCAGGCCAGGGTGTCCAGGGCTGGCGGGCTGGCGGGCTGGCGGGCTGGCGGGCTGGCGGGCTGGCTGCCCCCCTAGGGATTATGGTGAGAGTTCCTGTTGCCCTGCTTGGGGTGCCCCCCCCCACTGCCTGTCCCCCCACAGCTAGGAAGGCTGTGCTGTCCACGGCATTTATCCGCCACCAGCTCTGCTTCCTCGGGAGCGCCCCTCCCCCGGTGTCCCCAACTCAAGGCTTTATCATGTTGACAGTGGAGTGATTACTTGTGTGCTTGTGTGATGATTGGTTTAATAAATGTTCCCCATGCCACATGCGATGCGCTCGGCGTCCCGGTCACAGCTGTGTCCCACACACTGAAAGGGCTGCTGGCAATACATCTTTGTCGACACTCCGGCTCCTTGCTCCGCCTTGCCTGCTCCCGCTCCCCGAGGCCAAGGCCGGGCGGCTGCCTTGTCTGCTCAGTTCCTTGAGGATGTCTTCCCAAACAATGGGCCCGGGACCCTTGATATTATGTTTGCCCAGAATGTTCTGGAATGGTTCTGGAACAGTCTAGAACCTTCCAGAATGTCCCAGAACATTCTAGGACATTTTGTCTCCTGGTCTTTAAAATGTTTTCTTTCCCTTTTAATTTGGAAAGAGCAAGCCTTCTATCTTAGGAATCACTTCCCAAATGCTCACCTCCACAACAGCCGAGATGCCATGGGGCTTAAGCCAGGAGACTGAAATGCAACCCGGGATGGCAGGGACCCAAGCAGCCGAGCCATCATCCGGTTGCCTCCCTCCTGGGTGCCCATGAGCAGGAAGCTGGATGGAAAGAGCAATGCATGTAGACCCAGTCATGGTTTCAGTGACCGGGTCCCTGGGAGACCCGCATGGATCTACCAGCTGCTGTGGACATCTGAGGAGTCAATCTATATTTATCTATTTTATTGGAAAGGCAGATTGGCATAGAGAAGGCGAGACAAAGATATTCCATATGCTGGTTCACTCCCCAAGTGGCCACAATGGCCAGAACTGAGCTGATGCAAAGCCAAGAGCCAGGAGCCTCCTCCAGGTCTCCCCCGCGGGTGCAGGGTCCCAAGGCTTTGGGCCGTCCTCCACTGCTTTCCCAGGCCACAGGCAGGGAGCTGGATGGGAAGTGGGACAGCCGGGATTAGAACCAGGGCCCTTGTGGGATGTCAGTGCTTGCAAGGGGAGGGTTAGTCAGTTGAGCCATTGTGCCAGCTGACTGTGAATTTTCTGTCTCACACAACGTGGGTTTGTAGGTCTAGATTCTCTTAGCGCTCTGTATTCA